GCTGGTTGGTGGTTTCAAACCAACCCGAACTCTCCAAAGCGACATATCTAAATCAACAAAAAGCAAGAAAAGAAACATCAACCCAACTTGGGATTTAAGCAATAGTGGGTTAGGCATGTTAGGCGGGTGAAGATAGAATGCTTCAAACCGGCAAACGGTTTCCAGAAGGCCGATTCCACTCCCAACTGGCCTTGAGCCATCACGACTGACAACTCGGCTTATGACTAGGTAACTGAAGACCATCAACCCAGAACCATCCAAAGAGGAAGCCAAGAAGCTGGAAGATGCGCTACGTCGCAAGGTAAAATGGAGGGGATTGTCATATTTGTTCCAATTTAAACTGCTTGGGAATAAACTCCATTCCTGGAGCCCTTATGCCCAAAGCCGCGCCAAGTCGCCGGTGGCCGCAGCGAAGCTTCTCACAAAGGGGGCAATCCTCGGCTCCGCAAAGGACAAACCGCCAGAACAGGAAACATATGTGACATAGAGTTCACCTCCTATATACACAGTGCATGCACATAGAACATCATAGAATATCATAGAATATCATAGAATATCATAGAATCTAGGAATCACATTGGAATCACCAGCTTCACAAAGCCAATGGTGCTTTCCAGTACCTTCCCATCCCCATCGGCTGAGATGCCGACTCCTCCAGGGGCGTGTCGAAGTCCAAGGACGACCCGGCAGCCGAGCCGCTGCTCAGATCGTTCATGGCGGCCTGGCGATTGGAAAATGCCCCAGTTTTGACCCATCCCCAAGAGATGCTAGGAGATCTATCGGTGACGAATGTTGACCTGAAAATGATGTATATTATATATATATATATACACTTATATATATATACTTATGTACATATCTGCACGGATCTGCGCCATGAAACTCCAAGGTTAGTTTTGCCATAAAATTCCTATGATCAGGAAACCGATCAGCAGCCACCAATCAGCACCTTCACACGCCAATAGCCCTGGATGATTTCGCCTCCAACCTCTCAGCTTGGGTCGCTTCAAGAAAATGGTTCCGGCCATTTTGGAAAAATCCTTTCGCCCTGCCATTCATTTTGGGGGCCCACTTTGGATGGGATATCTAATATTGGTGGGGACAATGGAAAGCTCCAAGTGGTCCAAGCGGCATAAGTCACGCGCATATCCCTGGCGATGCGAAGCTGCCGTTGCAGCAGGCAAGGCCTGAGCTACAACCACCCTACGCTTTATGGCAGGGAATATTGGCCATGCTGTTCCGACAATTGTCGATCAACTGCAAAAAAATAAACACACACTTTGTGATCTTCGCAGTTTCATGTTGAAAATCACCAACCTTGCTGCAAGCTGACCAAATAACATTATCAATTCCAATCTTCAGGTGGACCTTGATATGCCACAGCTGGGTCGAAGGACACTTGGTGTTCCTGGAGCCATTGGCCCACCACACTTCTCACCTCTTGGGAAGTTGCACAGGACCTCAGCTGAGCAGCTGCTGAAGGCCGCTGAGAAGAACCAAAAATCACTTGGAGGTTTCCTGACATGGGAATACTGTAGCAAATATCCCCAAATCATCCATTTCAAAAGGATTCTCCATTACCATCCAGTTTGGGGTACCCCCATTTATCGAAACCTCCACTTGGCCATGCGCACTTTGCCGTTAAAGATGAACATGGAGGATATTACATGGCACTGTCCTTTCCTTTCAGTCAATATAGTCAAGCATGACAGTCATTCAGGACAAGCAAAAAAAGGCTTTAGCAGTCTTGGTCTTCAGCTTCTTGCGTTTCACAAAAATCGGTTCCTCACTCCAGAAAATGTCACTCCAGAAAATGTCCAGTAAACGATCCCTGAGATCCAAATGGTGCAAAAATTGCCAGAAAAAAAGTTGAAACCACCATCCAACCACCTGGGACCATCCAACATCATCCCCCGACTGGAGGCTGCGTAGGGATGTTTGAGAACCTCGGTGGTGTGACCTTTTCTCAAACCTGGGATCCAGAAATTGTTGGTCAGTTTAGGTCATGTTTCGACGCCTCAACCATAAAATGTCGTGGGTTAACATTTTTTGGCTGTAAGCAATTTCACAAGACATGCAGGCGACATCCAAAATTGGATGATTTCCTTCTTTACAGGCAACAAAAACATCAGCATCCAGAGATCCTCAACCACTTGCAAAATGGCCTCCGGATACATATGGCTAATGGTATGTGCCAAAATTCAGCTTGTAATTCAGATTGTAATAAATTTGCCTCATTCTTGGAACACCTTTGACCTCTCAAAAGAATTCCCTATCCTGTGCCCCACACCAGGGGGAAATCCGCATCCTTCAATTCGCCTCGTTGCCTTGGCTGGATGGCTGGACATCATCTGACCATTCCGCCTAGCATCGCACGGCCAGGGCAGCTAGGGACCGCACATCAACATCTCCAGGTCTTGCAGGCTCTGTACCACCCAGCTCTTGGGTGCGGGCACACCGATCCTGTAGGGATGGCTCCAGTAGGTTGATGGTGCCGTAGGGAACATCAGCAGACTTTCGAAGCGGAGCGTTTGTTTCTCCTGGTGAAGAGATCCCGGAGAGCGATCTTGTCCTGATAGAACCTCACAAAGCGGAGGTTTGAACCCAAGCAATTTGCGAAAGAAGCAGCCACACCGATTGATCACGTGTTTTGCACCAAGAACGTCAAATCAATGTAAGCACTCGTGGTAATGTTCAAAGGACTGAGGTGGAAGATCATCTGGTTTCGATTCCTCATTGGATGGCCATAAAATGGCCCCCAGTTACCGTCATGCATGTTGGAGCCATTGTTAATGGTCACAGAATCAATTGCTGGTGATATGCCATAGGCTATCCACATTATCATATCCACCATCATATCAATTATCATATCAATACATATGTGTACATATATATATATTATACACATATTATATATATGTGTGTGTGTATTGTATTGCATTGTATCGTATTGTATTGTATTGCATTGTATTGGTATTATATTATGTTATATCATATCATATTGTATTACATTATATTATATTATGCAACATGTATGTGTATAATATATATATATATGTGTATTGTATTGTATTGTATTGTATAGTATTGTATTGTATTGCATTGTATTGGTATTATATTATGTTATATCATATCATATTGTATTACATTATATTATATTATGCAACATGTATGTGTACAATATATATATGTATATATATGTATATATATATATGTATATATATATATGTATATATATATATATACGTATCCCAATATTGTTCTCTCCAGTTTCCCCCCAGGGAACAGCTGGGTGGCCCAACTGCATCGTCTCGGGTCGAGGCCACAGAGCAGCACCCATCGACACATCGAAGGCCGACAGATGCTGCGCCACGGCCAAACCAACACCGGGAGCACCTGCCAGTTGACCGCCTGCAAAACGAAGGGTGCAAGGCCGGTACAAACTTCATCAAAATGCTACAAGATGGTATAAGATGGTACATACCAAGTACACAAGCATGACCCATACCCCCCATCTTGCAGCGTCTTTGCGAAACCATACAAGTGCTTCCAGATCTTCACAGCAAACTTCACAGATCTTCACAGCATTCGAGTGTCAAGAAATACCACCGTCCTTCTGTGAATCCTGAGGCCACCTCCAAACATCTGATTGATGCGCCAGAAGTATAGGACCCCTGCTCGCACTTCCTGGCTCTGTTGTTTCTATGCGAAAGTCCTTCAGTCATTGGCAGTCATTGGATTGCTTTTTTTATAAGAATCTCCAAGTCTGGCATGCCCAACTCAAAAAGCTATGGCTATGATGGAGTTTGTACTCTGACTTGAAACACACTGGTTGAGTTGTAAGATTGTCTGTGTCACTGCTGATTAAGTAAAATGCACCACTTGGCCTTTTCGTGTATCTCTGGTCGATGGCTCCAAACCTGGATTCCCAACCACCTGGCCTCGCTTCTTCGAACCAGGTGTGGTTGCAAACCCATCCTGGACGAGGATTTGCAGGTCAGAAAGTTTCAGAAACCCAAAGGAAGCACCTCCAAACCATTCCAACCCCCCCCAAGCGGCGCACCGGTTGAAAGCGGTGAGGTATGCCTGCAGCCATTCAGCCTTGGCATTCCAAAGTTCAACTGGTCAACTGACACCCACCTTGTCTGGATATGTTGCCATTCAATTCTGTGATTTGGTCACCGAATCAGGCGATCTGTGAAAGACTTCAGGATACATCTTGGTTTCTTGCATTGTAGGGGTCGCCAGCAGATGTCTCCTGTGCATCAGTCACCGCTCATGGTGTGACATCTGTTAAAGACTTGAGCTTGCCAATCATGATTGAATTGGTGCCAGCCATATGGCACTAGAGATTCCACACCTTTGCTGTTCATGTTAGTGCATTGGGTCTCGACAGTCCCCTCTTGCAAGCAGACTAGGCATTCCAAACGAGGCCATGACAGTCTCAATTCAGTGGCTTCGACGCCAATCATGACCAACTTTGGTGGGTCCCAAACCGTAGCGCATCGTAGCGCCATGTCTTTGGTCTTGCTGGCAGTCCTCGATGTACATCCCCACCTTTTCACCGATGAAAGAGGCCTCTGGGAAGCTGCATCGACCCCTAGCCTATAGTCATATTCTTCCCATGGTGGTTGATAAGGCCCAAGACAGCCGAACGTGAAATCAAGAAAAGCGAATTCGATCAACACATGATCTTTGAAAACAGAACTCGGAGACAAAAAGTGTGGTTCAACTTTCAACGTACTCTTTTTGCAATGAAGAAAGACTTGATCTCCGAGAATCAATGACTGCAAGAGTTTGCTGATGTTTGCTGCCTGCCAATACACATAAACAGCCCAAAGTCCCCTGACTTCATCTGACTTCATCTGGTTACTAGTCATTACTCTATATATATATATAACTCGTGGGAGCAGTCTCTCTAGGTCGTGCACAGAGTAGGCTCCAGCGCTGGGATCAGAGAACTTTGGATCCTGCGCACCATGGTGCCAGTGCCACAACTTCCAAGTTCTTCAAGTGGCGGAGCTTTCTGGGGTTGCTTCTACTGCTACTGGCTGATTTCGGGATTCGATTCCCATGGTGGGTTCTAGCGTCATCAGAGCTGGTCTTACTTGACCTTGACCCAATCAATATCAATCACTCATCAATCACAAGGTGGCTGCTTAGCCACTTAGCCCTGCAATGTTTCGCAACGCCAGGCCAGTCCTGTAGCGCTACAAACTGCTTGGACCACCACTGAACACTGCTCCAGCTGGGCTCCGCGGTAGCAATGCTAGCAGAGAGGGACTCCAAGAGAGCCTCCCGTGGCACCCTCTGGAAATGATTGGAATGGCTTCTGAAATGGGCAGAGTTTTCGATTTCCCCAGCTTCTTCCAGGAGAAACATCCATTTGGTAACATGATCGCTTAAAAAAGAATCGGGATCTATTACCTCATGCGATTTCAGTTTCGGGGTCAGCTTCAGTTTCTCAACTCCCAGGCCCCAATGTCCACAGGAGAGTCTCACGGTCAGCAACTCCGCCTCCCCCGTGGCCCTTCGATGCAATGGCCGCCCGTCACAGAAGAGCTGCCTTAAGCGCGGCCGCCAAAGGTAAGTTACTGTTTGATCAGAAGTTAGGACTCTGCCCTTTCAGTGAGCAACTCGGAGATCCACAGTTGATCCAAAAATGCTTCCAGAGATTCCAGAGTATGAGGTGCAGAACATAGAAAGACGGCATTGAAATTCGAATCCACACCTTTTGTACCTTTTGCCATGGACTTCTGAAGGTCTGAAGCCCCTGAATTTCTAGTGGCGACACTAGAACTCGGTTTCCTCACAGGATTCGCGAACTTTGGAGGCCAGGTGCCATGCCTTCGAATAAATCTCGCTGTCTCGCATCTGACCACCCCACTGGCAGGAAAAAAAATGCTCAACAGAAATTCATCCAGCAGGACTTTAACCTGAAGAACTGTCCAATTCCAAATGGGCACAGCAGCTCTCACGGAAAAATCCGCTCCACACCTTGTAAATGCTGATCATCCAGCAGATACACTCCATTCACCGCCATCCAAGCCGCCTCAGATACCCAGCTGCCAGAGACCAGAGATTGGTTTCTTGGCCGCACCAGCACCGGGCCTTGTTGAGAGGACACAACTTGGCCTGGCCATCCAGCTCCCAACACGCGTCCAGTGGAGCTGGAGCTGGAGTCCTCAGCGACGAAGGGCTTGGGTTGGCCGAAACCAGCAGGTGTTCCCAGTCGCCACAAATATCCCAGACTTATCCCAGAAACAGGGCCCCCCACGAAAGATCCACTGGCTTCGGATCCGCCTGAGCGCTGGAGGATTTCACCCAGACAACAAATCTTCCCCTCGAAGATTAGGTTTTTAAGCAGCCAAATCGGTGATTTGATATGATAGAGGCTCTTTAAACATCACGTTTCGGAATCAACCACTATATTTACTATATGAATGGCCCAAAAGCGATGTTGCCGCTGGCCAACTGGGTTCATGGCCGGCCCTTCGGGATAGAGATGTTGGAAGACAGAATGTGTCAACCACCAAATGGGCCACCTGAGTTGATGAAAATCGCTACCTCTCAACCAACTGGGAGCATGGCTATACCGGTATACCCATATCTGAACATGTTTGAAAAATAAAAAAAATGTTCTTTAAAATATAGGGTTCAAAAGCAGCACACTTTACACTGACAGTTCTTTGATGCTGCTCAGCAACTCGCTTCGCAGCAGGGGAAGCAGCTGGAAGTTTTCTGGCTCAGTGGAGTAGCAGTGCTTGATATGACGCTCCGCCTTGGCAACTTAGCATTCTAGGGCCATGGCTGGCTTGGAACCCTCTGAAAGTGTCACTTCATGATCTTCATGGAGTATCTTCATTTCATGGATTTTGGGGGCCAGGAATTTCCCACTTGGCTCCAGGGTCCCCAGCCGAGCTGATCAACTCTTCAGCCTCCTGCCGAATCCGAAGGTTTTTTTCCTGTGACAGCACCAATGCTGATGCCATGTAACCCATCGCCTGCACGGCCGCGGGAAATTCTTCGAAAAACAACCAGTTTTTGGCGGGTGAATCAGAAAAATTGGGTAGATGATAGTTCCTTAACCTAATTGTGGGTATATGTTACCGTCTATAATTTGGGTATATGTTACCCCCATCTATTCATCAAGGTCTTTGGCATCACATCAAATTCTCACAGTTGCCGTTGATTGTTTCGCCCGCTGCACACCTGAGTCAAGCATCCAACATCTTTTGTTTTTCTCCCATCTGGCCCACCATACCCAATTGATCATCCTGACCATCCCTCCATGTGTCAGCCTCACTCCCAATTCATCTGGTTGCAACAGAATGAAAAAAACTCCGAGGAACCCCAAACTGGAAATGGGATGTACACACCATCTCCGATCACTGTAAAGGTTTTATTGTTAAACCATCAATCTTCAATAACCGTCCATGAGTATCCCATTCATATCCTTGAAATATCCCATGAAATCCGCCGACCCCTGCCGACAGCAGGGGGAGCGCGTCAGAGAAGAGATTACAAGCAACAAGTGTTGTGCAGTGCAAGTGAGGGGCAAGCGAGGGGGGGACAGAAAGGGAAGCCAGGTGCAGAGTAAGAAGCCCAAAAAAGGAAGCGAGAAAGGAGGGGCAGTCTCAGCGAACGTAGCGGGGCAAGCGAGGGGGGGACAGAAAGGGAAGCCAGGTGCAGAGTAAGAAGCTCAAAAAAGGAAGCGAGAAAGGAGGGGCAGTCTCAGCGAACGTAGCAAGCGAAAGAAGCACGAAACAAGAAGTTAGAAGCAAGAATGCAGAAGCAAGAGTAAACGAGCGACAGAAAGTAATGTTTGGCACTCTGGGCTACGGGCCGCGGGCCCAATCCGTCCTTCACTGCCATGGTGTTTTAGCCCTGCGAGGAGGTCCCTTGACCGGAGCTGTGCCGCACGAAAGCCAGCTGTCAGACAATGCAGGCAAGTTGGCAGTTGGCAGTGCAGGAACGCAGGGAAAAGCTAGGTTTGAGCTGCAAGACGACGCAGGCAAAGTGGCAGGGAAAAGCAAGGTTTGAAGCTAGTTTCTAGGCAGTTCAGAAGGCAACGTTTGGCACCGTGGGCTGCCGGCTGCGGGCCCGATCCGTCCTTCAGTGCCATGGTGTTGGGGCCCTGCGGAGGGGTCCTTGGACTCGAGCTGACGGCAAGACACAGCAAGGTTTGAAGCTAGTTTCGACTTGACCGGAGCTGTGCCGCACGAAAGCCAGCTGTCAGACAATGCAGGCAAGTTGGCAGTTGGCAGTGCAGGAACGCAGGGAAAAGCAAAGTTTGAAGCTAGTTTCTAGGCACTGCAGAAAGCAACGTTTGGCAGTATGGGCTGCCGGCCGCGGGCCCGATCCGTCCTTCACTGCCATGGTGTTTGAGGCCTGCGACAGGGTCCTTGGACCCGAGCTGACGCCAGGAAACAGCAAGGTTTGAACCGGCAGACCTGGTCCGTCCCTCAGGGCCCTGCTGTTTGGCTGTGGCGCAGGCGCCGTTTTGGGTCAGACAGCAAGGTTTTCTTGTAGGTTCAGAAAGCAACGTTAGGCACTCACGGCCGTGGCCCGCAGGCCCGATCCGTCCTTCACTGCCATGGTGTTTGAGGCCCTCGACAGGGTCCTTGGACTCGAGCTGACGGCAGGAAACAGCAAGGTTTGAAGCTAGTTTCTAGGCAGTTCAGAAAGCAACGTTAGGCACTCACGGCCGTTTTTGAATGTTTGTGACGGCCGGAAAGGGCGCGTTTTTGAAGGTTTGACGGCTGGAAGAGAGCTTGTTTTCTTGTAGGTTCAGAAAGCAACGTTAGGCAGTGGGAGCGGTTGCCCGGAGGCTCGGTCCGTCCTTCAGGGCCCTGCTGTTTGGGCGTGGCGGAGGCGCCGTTTGTGAGCCTTGACGGCTGGAAGAGAGCTAGTTTGGGAGCCGTTGCCCGGAGGCTCGGTCCGTCCTTCAGGGCCCTGCTGTTTTGCTGTGGCGAGGGCGCCGTTTGTAGCCTTGACGGCCTGTAAGAGAGCTAGTTCTTGTATGTTCATAAAGCAACGTTAGGCCGGGGAGCCGTTGCCCCGGAGGCTCGGTCCGTCCTTCAGGGCCCTGCTGTTTGGGCGTGGCGGAGGCGCCGTTTGTGAGCCTTGACGGATGGAAGAGAGCTAGTTTGGGAGCCGTTGCCCGGAGGCTCGGTCCGTCCTTCAGGGCCCTGCTGTTTTGCTGTGGCGAGGGCGCCGTTTGTGAGCCTTGACGGCTGGAAGAGAGCTAGTTTTCTTGTAGGTTCAGAAAGAAACGTTAGGCAGTGGGAGCCGTTGCCCGGAGGCTCGGTCCGTCCTTCAGGGCCCTGCTGTTTGGGGGTGGCGGAGGCGCCGTTTGTGAGCCTTGACGGCTGGAAGAGAGCTAGTTTGGGAGCCGTTGCCCGGAGGCTCGGTCCGTCCTTCAGGGCCCTGTTGTTTTGCTGTGGCGAGGGCGCCGTTTGTGAGCCTTGACGGCTGGAAGAGAGCTAGTTTTCTTGTAGGTTCGGAAAGCAACGTTAGGCAGTGGGAGCCGTTGCCCGGAGGCTCGGTCCGTCCTTCAGGGCCCTGCTGTTTGGGCGTGGCGGAGGCGCCGTTTGTGAGCCTTGACGGATGGAAGAGAGCTAGTTTGGGAGCCGTTGCCCGGAGGCTCGGTCCGTCCTTCAGGGCCCTGCTGTTTTGCTGTGGCGAGGGCGCCGTTTGTGAGCCTTGACGGCTGGAAGAGAGCTAGTTTTTCTTGTATTGAATTCAGAAATCAACGTTAGGCAGGTGGAGCCGTTGCCCGGAGCTTCGGTCCGTCCTTCAGGACCCTGCGTTTGGGCGTGCGGAGGCGCCGTTTGTGACCTTGAGACGGCTGGAAAGGCTAGTTTGGGAGCCGTTGCCCGGAGGCTCGGTCCGTCCTTCAGGACCCTGCTGTTTGGGCGTGGCGGAGGCGCCGTTTGTGAGCCTTGACGGCTGGAAGAGAGCTAGTTTTCTTGTAGGTTCAGAAAGCAACGTTAGGCAGTGGGAGCCGTTGCCCGGAGGCTCGGTCCGTTCTTCAGGGCCCTGCTGTTTTGCTGTGGCGGAGGCGCCGTTTGTGAGCCTTGACGGCTGGAAGAGAGCTAGTTTGGGAGCCGTTGCCCGGAGGCTCGGTCCGTCCGTCAGGGCCCTGCTGTTTTGCTGTGGCGAAGGCGCCGTTTGTGAGCCTTGACGGCTGGAAGAGAGCTAGTTTTCTGGAAGGTTCAGAAAGCAACGTTAGGCAGTGGGAGCCGTTGCCCGGAGGCTCGGTCCGTCCTTCAGGGCCCTGCTGTTTTGCTGTGGCGGAGGCGCCGTTTGTGAGCCTTGACGGCTGAAGAGGTTTTGAAGGTTGTGACGGCTGGAAGAGAGCTAGTTTTCTTGTAGGTTCAGAAAGCAACGTTAGGCAGTGGGAGCCGTTGCCCGGAGGCTCGGTCCGTCCTTCAGGCCCCTGCTGTTTGGGCGTGGCGGAGGCGCCGTTTGTGAGCCTTGACGGCTGGAAGAGAGCTAGTTTGGGAGCCGTTGCCCGGAGGCTCGGTCCGTCCTTCAGGGCCCTGCTGTTTTGCTGTGGCGAGGGTGCCGTTTGTGAGCCTTGACGGCTGGAAGAGAGCTAGTTTTCTTGTAGGTTCAGAAAGCAACGTTAGGCAGTGGGAGCCGTTGCCCGGAGGCTCGGTCCGTCCTTCATGGCCCTGCTGTTTGGGCGTGGCGGAGGCGCCGTTTGTGAGCCTTGACGGCTGGAAGAGAGCTAGTTTGGGAGCCGTTGCCCGGAGGCTCGGTCCGTCCTTCAGGCCCTGCTGTTTTGCTGTGGCGAGGGCGCCGTTTGTGAGCCTTGACGGCTGGAAGAGAGCTAGTTTTCTTGTAGGTTCAGAAAGCAACGTTAGGCAGTGGGAGCCGTTGCCCGGAGGCTCGGTCCGTCCTTCAGGCCCCTGCTGTTTGGGCGTGGCGGAGGCGCCGTTTGTGAGCCTTGACGGCTGGAAGAGAGCTAGTTTGGGAGCCGTTGCCCGGAGGCTCGGTCCGTCCTTCAGGGCCCTGCTGTTTTGCTGTGGCGAGGGTGCCGTTTGTGAGCCTTGACGGCTGGAAGAGAGCTAGTTTTCTTGTAGGTTCAGAAAGCAACGTTAGGCAGTGGGAGGCGGTTGCCCGGAGGCTCGGTCCGTCCTTCAGGGCCCTGCTGTTGGGGCGTGGCGGAGGCGCCGTTTGTGAGCCTTGACGGCTGGAAGAGAGCTAGTTTGGGAGCCGTTGCCCGGAGGCTCGGTCCGTCCTTCAGGGCCCTGCTGTTTTGCTGTGGCGAGGGCGCCGTTTGTGAGCCTTGACGGCTGGAAGAGAGCTAGTTTTCTTGTAGGTTCAGAAAGCCACGTTAGGCAGTGGGAGCCGTTGCCCGGAGGCTCGGTCCGTCCTTCAGGGCCCTGCTGTTTGGGCGTGGCGGAGGCGCCGTTTGTGAGCCTTGACGGCTGGAAGAGAGCTAGTTTGGGAGCCGTTGCCCGGAGGCTCGGTCCGTCCTTCAGGGCCCTGCTGTTTTGCTGTGGCGAGGCCGCCGTTTGTGAGCCTTGACGCTGGAAGAGAGCTAGTTTTCTTGTAGGTTCAGAAAGCAACGTTAGGCAGTGGGAGCCGTTGCCCGGAGGCTCGGTCCGTCCTTCAGGGCCCTGCTGTTTGGGCGTGGCGGAGGCGCCGTTTGTGAGCCTTGACGGCTGGAAGAGAGCTAGTTTGGGAGCCGTTGCCCGGAGGCTCGGTCCGTCCTTCAGGGCCCTGCTGTTTTGCTGTGGCGAGGGCGCCGTTTGTGAGCCTTGACGGCTGGAAGAGAGCTAGTTTTCTTGTAGGTTCAGAAAGCAACGTTAGGCAGTGGGAGCCGTTGCCCGGAGGCTCGGTCCGTCCTTCAGGGCCCTGCTGTTTTGCTGTGGCGGAGGCGCCGTTTGTGAGCCTTGACGGCTGGAAGAGAGCTAGTTGGGAGCCGTTGCCCGGAGGCTCGGTCCGTCCTTCAGGGCCCTGCTGTTTTGCTGTGGCGAGGGCGCCGTTTGTGAGCCTTGACGGCTGGAAGAGAGCTAGTTTTCTTGTAGGTTCAGAAAGCAACGTTAGGCAGTGGGAGCCGTTGCCCGGAGGCTCGGTCCGTCCTTCAGGGCCCTGCTGTTTGGGCGTGGCGGAGGCGCCGTTTGTGAGCCTTGACGGCTGGAAGAGAGAGTTTGGGAGCCGTTGCCCGGAGGCTCGGTCCGTCCTTCAGGGCCCTGCTGTTTGCTGTGGCGAGGGCGCCGTTTGTGAGCCTTGACGGCTGGAAGAGAGCTAGTTTTCTTGTAGGTTCAGAAAGCAACGTTAGGCAGTGGGAGCCGTTGCCCGGAGGCTCGGTCCGTCCTTCAGGGCCCTGCTGTTTGGGCGTGGCGGAGGCGCCGTTTGTGAGCCTTGACGGCTGGAAGAGAGCTAGTTTGGGAGCCGTTGCCCGGAGGCTCGGTCCGTCCTTCAGGGCCCTGCTGTTTTGCTGTGGCGAGGGCGCCGTTTGTGAGCCTTGACGGCTGGAAGAGAGCTAGTTTTCTTGTAGGTTCAGAAAGCAACGTTAGGCAGTGGGAGCCGTTGCCCGGAGGCTCGGTCCGTCCTTCAGGGCCCTGCTGTTTGGGCGTGGCGGAGGCGCCGTTTCTGAGCTTGGAAAGCTGGAAGACGGCTACTTTTCTTGTAGGTTCAGAAAGCACTGTGGGGCATTGCCGTGCGGTGTGGCAACCTTAAGCTGGAAACGTCATCAGGTATGCACGCGCCACTGGTTGGTGCGACACTGCCGGCCGCTGGGATTGCGATGCGTTACCCGAATTCGGCCGGAAGCCAGTGTTGAGTGCACCACCGTGCCGCATGTTGGACATGCATGCGAATATGTGCGACCTGCGAGCAGGCCATTGGCAACGCGAAATTGTTTGCCGCAGCCATTACCGCGGCGGTGATCGACGCGCCCTGTTGCCACAGGGCTTTGCACAGACTTAGCACAGTACGGGCAGATGTATATGTGCAGTCGTGGCGGTGCTGTGTCAGGCCCGACAGCAAGCTGCTGGTTCGATGAGTGGGCAGTGTCCGTTTTGGGACCTTCTGCTCGCGTGGAAGTTTGTCTTGCTTCGTGTATTTCCTGAATTTCCTTGCGAATGTCCTCTAGGATTGCTGCGTGCCGGTGGCGGGTTTCGCGTTGGCGCAAGCGGGCCAGGCGTTGATTCGTGCGATGAGCAAGACGGCAAACGAAGGCAAAGGCTGTGCATGCGTTGCATACTTGTGTGCCGTCTTGAGTATATTCACGACCTTGTTGCCAAGCTGTAAACTCTGTTCGTGGCTTGCGTTCCGCGCACATGGAACACATGAAAACAGACCAGCGACTTTGACTGAGCTTCGGCCGCCATCACTGTGGAAGATGTTCACTGCAGGAAGGGTTCCAAACTCACTCTCTCCCAGGGGTCGGCGGCAGGGGGCGTAGCCCCTTAATATCACTTCAATCAAATATCCCATTAAATCTCGTTGACGAATACTAACCATCAATTTTCCCCTAAATGTTTCCATTAAATCACTAGTCATCGTTAACCATCATCAACCATCATGAACCATCATCAACCATCATTCATTTCCCTTCAGTATATCGATCATCAACGGTTTTCTGTCGTGTTTACCCGGCCTTGGCGGCTGAGCAGGCCCGGCTGCTTTGCCCCGGATCTCGGGGATCTGCCCGCGCCAAGAAGTGCACAGAGTCCTCATGGATGGTGAAGTGCCGCATCATCGTCTTGGAAAAAAATGTGTTATGCATACCAGTAGTACCGCACAAGGCGCTGGCGGAAGTTCAAAAATAGGAAACCTATAGGAGAGGTTGGTTGTTGTGAATCACGGATGGCAGAGCGAATCCACTAATGGGCCGAAAGGTGGTTGGAATTGTGATTTTTGAAGTGGTTGCAATGGTTGCAGTGGTCACCCCACCACAACTGCTGGATGTAGTGTGGTGTAGTGCAGTTGTAATTGTAGCTGTAGTGTAGTGTAGTGGAGTTGTAGTTGTATGCAGTGTAATTAGTTTAGTGTAGTTGCAGTTGTAGTTGTGGTGTGGTGTAATTAGCGTAGTGTAGTGTAGAGTCTAGAGTAGTGTAGTGTACTGTAGTGTAGTGTACTGTAGTGTTGCGTACTCTAGTGTGGTATAGTGTAGTGTAGTCTAGTGTGGTGTACTGTAAAGTAGTGTAGTTGTAGCTGTAGCATAGTGTAGTGTAATTAGTGTAGTGTAAAGTAGTGGCAGTTGCAGATGTAGTTGTAGTTGTACCTGTAGTGTAATGTAATGTAATGTAATGTAAATAGTGTAGTGTAGTGTGGTGTGGTGTAGTGTGGTGCGGTGTAGTGTAGTGTAGTGTTGCGTAATGTGATGTAGTGTGATGTAGTGTGATGTAGTGTAGTTGCAATTGTAGTTGTAGCTGTGGTGGTGGTGGTAGCAACAGCAGCAGCAGTAGTAGCAGCAGCAGCAGCAGTTGTTGTTGTTGTTGTTGTTGTTGTTGTTGTTATTGCTGTTGTAGCTGTACTTGTCGTGTAATTAGTGTAGCGTAGTGTAGTGTGTGTAGTGTAGTGTAGCGTAGCGTAATTAGATGTAATTAGATGTAATCAGATGCAATTAGATGTAATTAAATGTAACTAGATGTAGTTAGATGTAATTGAATGTAATTAGATGCAATTAGATGTAATTAGATGTAATTGGATGTAACTAGATGTAATTAGATGTAATTGGCGTAGTGTAGTGTAACTAGCGTAGTGTAATGTATCGTAATATATTTGCATTTGTAGTTGTATTACTAGTACTAGTAGTACTAGTAGTACTACTGTAGTAGTTGTTGTTGCCGTTGTTGTAGTGTAGTGTAGTGTAGTGTAGTGTAGTGGTACTTGTAGTTGTAGTTGCAGTTGTGCTTGTGTATCTATCTATCTGTCTATCTGCAAGCTTCCTTCGATGATTATATATGTACATATATATATATATATACACACATCTGTATATGTTTTCCTACAGGGATAGGGCCAATTCGGAATTACCGGTGGATTTCACTCTTGAAATTCTGAGGCGTGCACAACCAATGGAGGTGTCTGGCCATGAACCAAATGCCCTTGCACCTCGGCACACCAGGTGCAGTTGGATGGTCTTCATGGAGTAGGCACAATCCACCAAAAAGGGATGTGAAAGGATATACGGTATAGCGACCCCCAAAAAATAGAACAGTTAAGTTGAATACTTAAAGATACTAAAACCCTACATACACATATAGCAACAAAACCCAGGGCTCATGCTAAGTGCCAAGCCCAGTTGCGGAATCGCACATGGTCATCGCTTAGCAAGGGCTGCCACCTGCCTGGACGGCTGCGAACAGGTCCGAAAATCACTTCGAGATGTTTACCAGCTATCAAATAAAAATCGTGGTTTTGCAAAGGATGCAGCAAAGGCAAATTTCTGGCCAGGGTTCATCACTCTTGGATCTGCCGCACACCAAGTCCCCTGCGTGTCTCCGTGTCCAATGGGATGTTCTGGCAGCAGGGTCAGGCCATCTTGCGCCCAGCTGAGAGTGGCCGCTTGCCACTTTGCAAGTGGATGTTGATTCATACATATGCCTTTCGTCCGGTCCAACATCTCTGAAACAGAACCAACCAAATACCCCAATGCTTTCCCAAAATTGTCTTGTCACTTCAGAAAGGGCATGCAACGCTGGCCTCCCAGGGAACTTCCGGGCCCGGTACTTCTTCTGCTTCCAATTGTACCTCTGCACTACAGCAGCTCCACGGTAAGTTCATCTGATTGGTACTTGCGACCGTGAGACAAAGTTTCGCGCACTTCAAAACCACAATAAGCACCAGCCATCACCAGCCCTTGATTTGGTCAAAACCCTGGTGCCCTGGTGAACACCAAAATAGTGGATACCTGGATACCCGACAAATGAGCCGCTCCTTTTTGGGTCTCATCCAAAATGTGTCTGTCCGTGCCACTCTGATCTGCTGCAGAGTGGGAATTAGGGTTGAGCACCTCTCTGATTGAAATGTCGCACAATCTGAAGTTAGCGTGTCCTTAAGGAGTCAACCTATACATAGCCACAACACGCCACAACAAGAGATCTTTGATAGCCTTCAATGTTTTCAATGGATCACAGTACCCGAGGGCTCAGTTAATGGTGAAAATGCATCGCGCTGCGGCGAGGAAAAGGCGCGCCTTACGGGGCATAAAAAAGCGCGCCGTCGTTGTGACGTGCGGTTCGCTGCTTGTAGCAGTAAACCGAGGTTGAAAAGTCGTTTAGCAATTCGTTTAGCTTACAAGCCCACATGGAGAAAAACCATCATGAGGGCTGAACGCCTATAGCAATTCCAGTGTTCCTGAATCCAGAAACATCTCTGCCATCTACTGCCATCCATTGTCATCTGGCTATGCTATGCTCTGCTGTTCAAAGCTAACGTTGCCATTCGCTTAGAGCAGGTGCCCTACTCCAAGTAACAGACCACAAAAGACGCTGGTGCCCACCACATCCGAAGCCTCTGTGTTCATGATGGTCTCGGTCATGGTCTCGGTCATGGTCATGGTCTCTGTCATGGTTTCTGTGGTGGTCATGGTCATGGTGGTGGTCATGGTGTGGGTCATGTTGCCACTGGCGATGCTGAACAATTTCCTGAAGCCAGCGAGGCTACGGCCCTGGTGCCAATTCAAGGGGTCGGTGATGTCCTTCATCAACTTCGATTTGCTACCACTGGTGGAGCCGGAATACTCGGCTGTCTCAGTGAGGCCCAAAGTCACCATGTTCACTTCCTGCAGGCTTTATATTCATCCCCTGAAGAATACTATGTAACACCTATTTGTGGGAAAGTCAACTGCTGCTTAACTGAACACTCCAGTGAAAGAAAAGCTGCCAGCCTAGTGATTCCTCCAAAATAACAGCTTTTTCACCACTGAAAAGACCTCTTTAACTCTCTAACCCCCAAAAATGTGCAATCGGAATCCCACAAGCTGTTTGTTCCAGTCCTCCAACTTTCGCATGGCGGTCCCAGACTTCCCCAGATCGATGCTACAGAGGGCGACGGGCTCCTCTTCGCTGCCCTTGAAGACGGTCAGCGCAGTGGGGGCCACAAGTGCAGAACTATCGGCCTGGAAGTCGGAACGTCTCAGGACGCTGCCCCTCCTCAGATGGGGTGGGGATGGGGTCAGAGGGGGAAGGGAGTTGGGTTGGGAGCTGGGACACGAGGCTTGGGAGTTTTGGGGAGTTGAGTCCACTAAGAAATGATCATGGGGATTTTTGGCCGCAGAAAAGGAAAGTTCGTGAAGAGAAATAGTTTCAAATCTGGGTGTGAGTTAAATCATGAAACCTACATCCCTGGACGAAAGATGCATTTGCGCAAAGTGTAGAAGTTTAAGCCAACGTAATGCACTGCTGGTAGGCCAACTGATCCAGTTTCCAAGTTTGTCACAGAAAAATGTTTACATATGTTGATAAGAATCAACAACTAGACACTTCAAGAAATATCATCATATCAAATCATATCTCTCAAACTTGGTCATGTTCCAAGTTTCGGCGCGTCCCTCACGTGTTCCTTGGCCGCATAGGCCTTCTGCACCTCGAAGCTCCGCTGGGGCAGCTCCTCCGTCACGGACAACTCGTCGCCCTCGGCGTCCTCCAGGAGGACCAGCGCGAAGTCGTCCTGCTCACCGTAGATGCCAACGAAGGCACAGTCACCTTTCCGAAAGAAATCCGAAAGGATTGGAAAATCAACTGGAGATTGAAAATGATTGAAATCACAAATCAACAAATGTCAACTGCAGTTTTTCTTGGATGAAATATGAAGCCCATGAATGGTTGATGAATGATGCAAGTTGGGATTCAAAAACCCAACTAACTAGTCATCCAACTGCGGAAAAATCCAACACCATGACCATCAAAACCAAGGGGAATTTGACTGCGAACCCCACCTGGAGAAAGAGATGCCACCAGCCTCTGAGTTGCCACGAGCATCAGGGACTTCAACATGGCCATGCCCCTAGTGGTGAAACACCGGACGTAGCGTGTGATTCCACCCTGTTTTGAACCGCAGCGGCGCCTGCATCCCCAGCCCCTTCCCCAGTGTCCATGAAGAAAATAGCTGCTCTTTCACAAAAAAAAAACACCAGTTGTCTGCCGCTCACCCGCCTGCGCCAGGTGCAATAACCCAAATATGGGCCACCCAGTAGCCGCCACCTGTGGCTGGTGAGCACTTCATTGGGGTCATTACCCAAGAAAAATGTGGCTATCAATGATATAGCCAAGAAAAACATGGATTTGGACGGATTTAGATGAGAATAGGAGAGTCTCAACCAACGGAGAAAACAAATCTCGAGATCTATGATTGAGAACACGAGCAACACTTACCCTCTGATAAACAAGCTGGAAAGCCATCCGCACCCAAGAGATCATGCAGTGGCAGATCCCAAGTAAAAATGGTGTGTTAGACACTTCCATACGCTCATGCTGAAGCCTCAAGACATCTCAAAACTCCACACAGGGTTTCCTGCAACATGTGGGACTGGCTACCCAACATCAGTTAGTTTCCCACCTCCACGAAGTTGCTCTCCAGCAAGACTCTCACGAGCTCCGCGCCACTACTTTCCAGTTCCCGAAGCCTCGCCTACAACACCCCGTTGAGTGCACCAAAAATGATGGCTTTACCAATCCGCCAAGACTTGGCGAAGCGTTCACCTCAAAAAATGTCACCCAAAGATCCCACTTCCAAGGTCCATGGCTTTGTCTGAAAATTATGGGAGAAAATACGAAAATCCCATGATCATCAATTTTCATCAATGTTCCATTGCAAGAAGGGTACAAATCCCATGGGCACCTCCCGATCATCGCGCAACAAGTGCAGCAGATGGAGAGACACAGCACCGTGAATGCAGGCAGACGGCTGCAGTGACGGCAAGGGCCTCGGGCAATTCCAGGTGATTTGGTTCATCAATGTATGAAGGGTTGGTTCAGAAAGCATAATGATCCACATTAATTATGTATATATATATATATGTATATATATATAATTATATATATAATTATATATACAATGTAATGTAATGTAATATAATGCAATGTAATGTAATGTAATGCAATGCAATGCAATGTAATGTAATGTATGGTTCCCAGGTGATTATAATCATCAACCGAGGTTCTTGAGACTGCTGACTTTCCTAGCATGAAGCAGGAAGGATTCCAATTTTCACGAGCTTGTCCAAAGATTCTTGGTCAGCTTCTACAGTTCAGAACAGCATCTTTGGATCAGAATATCCACCTTGAAGTCCATGTTCGGGTTCTGGTCAAGCTTCCGCGACATCTGATTCATGCTCCACTAAATGACTATGAGTCAAGTCATACAAATTGGTGTGGTTTCTGCAAATATGAAAACCGAAAATCATCCATTTCTCTCAAATTATTCTAATCAAATCTGACCTCTTGCCGAACCAGCAACAGCTCTGGGCGGCCCTGCCCTGCATCCTTCAGCTTCTGTAGCCTTTGGGTGGGCTGCCGCCCATCACCCACTGTGGCCTGAGAAATGACAAAACCACCAACCACACAGATATCTTGGTACATCTTGGTACATCCCCCATTCCAATGCTTCCCCTTTTCACATCTATTCACAGGTAAATCCCCCCGTTTTTCAGTGAACCCAGCAGCTTCATCGTTCCGCTTCACCACTGAGATCCTGGCTTTGACGATCTCGCGGACCTGAACCAGGTGCCCAAAAAGTTAGGGGCTTCCCGCAGAGTTTCCCTTCCTGGGAAGTGGTGATGGTTGCTGTATGCAGCCCTGATTAAGCAACACTTGTCCTAGTCGATGAGCAGAATAATGGCCATTGCAAATGATTGTGATTTGTTGATGCGAGATCTGCATTCCAAGCAGAACTCCGCAAATGGTATTCCTCCAACATCGACCCCAATGGATATCTCCAATCCCTTGAGCTGAATAGTGGTGTTACGGTGGTCTACGTTCCAAAGTGGACAAAGGGGCTTACGAAACACAATGGAAGGTTGAGTATCTGAATCTCCATAAAGAACAATCTCAGTGCAAACCTCCGTTGACAAAAATAAAGTCTGGCAGAAATCCAGTGGAATCAGGGTATCCTCCAACCCCAGTGGCCTTCTGCCATTCTCTGCTGGCGCAAGGCTCTTCTGCCCGTCCAGGCAGCAAAAGTCCTAAGGTCCTAGGTGGCACAATTTGGGAGAGGCTGATTGATCATTTGCAACACTTCAAAAGTGTATTTCATGTAACTACAATCTGAGTTTTGGTGGTTCATGGTTGTTCCAAAGTCTAAGCTACGCACAGCCGCACAGATTGCCCTCTTATTTCCCATTCCCCACGCTGGTTGGGGCACTTGGCTCTGAGATGGTGACCATAGCCACTTGGCCGTGACCATGACAGCGTCGGTGCATGGCTGACACGTCTGTTTATTTCATGTGTCTGTTTGGAATGATTTCTAATGATTTCTCTACAGTATCTTTGGAGACCACAATCAGAGTCTCTTTCATTTGCTACCTGCATATGCTTTGTCTGTTTGTTCATGTGTTTGTCCTATCTTCAGTCAGAACCCATGAGAAGTCAATGTCTGTTGTCTGGTGGGTGCGTGGGGGTGACTGTTGCCATGATCCTCCGAGTAAGCCAACGCTTCCCTCATCAAACTGTACAGGTCCATGGTCTGAAAATTTCCCACCAAATGATCACAGCAAGGAGCGGATGGGAAACAAATCAACAGGGTTTAGGGTTGCCCGGGTTGCTACTAAAGTATACTAAAGTCTTGCCGTAGATTTCTTGCTGGATTGAACATGACCAAAAACTGTTGCCCTGTTGGCCCCTAATATTTCACATTTGACCAATCCCCAGTTCCCAAGACCAAATCTGTTTCCGTCGCCCATTGGCGAGTCCGGGTGAAACTCGTTTTAAGTCAGGTGCCTGGAGACGGGGAACGAGGGGATGAAAAAAAATCAATGAACCACTGGGAACTACTGTGTTTTGTATAGCATACTGCAGCAGTTATGATATGGTATGGTATGTTATGGTATGTTGTGGTTTAAGCCATGTTAGAACAGCTGACTTAAAATGTCGAGTTTCCTGTCATGGGAACAGGTCATCGGGTGTTCTTGTTACCATCAAATCTAAAGGGGGTTATGAAGTGTCCCTTTCAAGAAACAGTGGGCATGTTTGAAACATCAACTCGTTTAAGGTGATGGAGACCTAAAGTAGGGATACTCCAACTTGGACCTACAAACGGCTGGTCATTTTTAAATTGAACATGACAAAAATCATCAATCTAGGACCAAAGTATGGAGATGTATGGAGCCGACTTGTGAAACCCTGCGAGCCTTGGTGCCAGATTTGGAGCCTCAGACAACATGGCCACAACTCCGCCAGTCCTGACCTTGCCCACTGGATTTTGAGACAAGGAACTGGTAGCCACTTGTGTGACCACGCATGCTGGTTGTACATCTTGTCCGGAAAGAGGCGGGCATTGATCTTGAGCGGAAGTGGAATAAGTGGAATCCGGCAACTGGTTAAGGCTAGGGACATTTCAAGACTCGGTCAAGAAAAAAACAAAAATGGCGCCGGATCTTTTGGATGGGAAGACAAAACATGAGAAATAAACTTGCAATCGCGTCCAGTTGGCAGAAACATTCATCATCACATTTTACACTATTTTACACTTCCCGTGCGCCTGTGATTTGGAGTAGCGCGGATATCTCAAACCCTGGCAGTCAAATTGGACTTGAAAAGAAACAACGCATGGGTTTTGTTCTCCAAAGTATTGTCCAGATCTGTCTTGTCAGTTTGAGACTCCCAGTTGGAGCAGTTGCCATGGCAGCAAAGTGCATTGATCAGAGAGGAACTAGGGAGGATTTCTGTTGGTTAAAATCCAGTTTGCTGTTACTTTTATGTGCCCATGTTTGGTGGTCAAATGCGAAAACCTGTACGATGAAACTACCTTGGCGTTTTAACGTTACGAAATTGTCGCTCGAATTCCAATGCAATCCCAATTTGTTCTTTCTCAAATCCCCAAGTTTGCTGAGATGCTTGTCGAAATACCATCCATAACAAAAGTTTGATTCAGTTTGATCATATTTGTTTGTGAAATCCCCAAGTTTTGGTGACATCCCATGAAAAAAATCATCGAAAAATCCGCCTTCTCCTCCTCTTTGATCAAGGAGTCCAGCCACTGCAAGCGATGCTCCTGCTCCAGCTCCTCCGCACTGATGTGCCCCGCAGGGGGCAGCTTCGCCTGGTGATTTTTCAGCACAGAAATGGGTATCAAACCGACATCATCTGTGACTTCAACAAAGAAACATTTTAAAAAAATCTGGCAAGAACATCCAAGAGGATATGTTGTGATATTCGTTGATATGATATTCATACTTGAAAAAATGGAGGTTCACCATACCCATTCTTCCATATGTAAAGTAGATAAAGTAGTTAAAGTAGTATTATATCCCTCCTGTCGGGTCAACACATTGTCGTGACAATGTCGTGACTAATTGCCAAATCTTTGGCTCAAGAATGCTCGTAGAAAAGGTCGCTGCTTGCTTTGTGTCTTTGTTTGGGTTGGTTGTTTTTGGGGTGTTAGTTCACAATTCAATTATTATCTTCACAAAACAAATAACTATCCAATATCATGGGCAAGAATTCATCGGCTGTTATGGTCAAAGCATCAAATCAGTGGTCACAATTTGGCAAATCAGCCAGCCCTCTTTCCTGGTATGGTTTTTGTTACCCCCAGTTGTAACATTTGGTCAATTGGCTTTGGCGTATTGATGGACTAAAAATGACCAGGTCGTGGTAAACCCTGGCTGCCATAAACTACTTCCATTTGATGATAGTAACCAACCATAGACATGGTGATATTAGGGATGTATTATGGCATTGGGTTTACGACATTAAAGCATTTCTTCCAGTTGAGGAGTCAGGAAGGTTTCGCCCGTGCTCACCTCCTTGACGACACATTTGCACTGTGAACACTCCGTGGAGTACCGAAGATCCTGGCTCAGGCTGGCTGGTTTTCACGGAAACATCCAAAAATCCTTCGGATTGATGGATTCTCATTCACCCAAATATGGTACGATAGGCTTCTCATATCTTTGAATTGCTGCAATTCCCATCCCGATCCTGGCAACCGGGGATTTACTGCACACGAGACTTCGGGGGCCAAGAATCAAATCCCACGCCTGTTGCATCAGGCCCTGAGTGAACATGGGACTGGGCTCTTTCCAGTAGTCTTCCCTGGCAATGAGATGATGTGAAGAACACCGCACAGCGGCACGGAACGGCACCTCCATCCACTTTTGATCGAGGACACCTCACTCGCCTTACAGCAGAGTCCAGTGACAAATTCCAAAAAAAGCAGCCACTCTGAGAGTCCAGCACTTTCATGTGCTTTCCATTCATTTCCGTTTTAAAAAATGAGCAGTTGCTTTGGCATAGCATTTCCATCCATTGGCTCGGGGATACTGGTCGAGGCTACCCCCATCCTGAGACACCCGTGGACGTACGATCCCCAGCAGCGCATCACAGAGGCATCCCACAACCACCAGGGCACAGGGTAAGGCAGGAAGGCCGCTGCCAAGTTTCCAGACCTAGCTACGTCAGCTCGATGTTACTCGATGTTGGATAAAACGGTGACCTTTGATGACCTTTGAACAAGTTTCGTTGTGTCGTTTTGATCAACTCCCCGTGAAAATGGCACTGAACACTTCAACAAACTGTTTGAGAATTCCTCGTCATTCGGATCCATATGGCTCCATCCGGCTGGTGAAACGTCAGGAACAGGATGGAATCACCATCTCCAAAAATCGTCCGATTGAAAAGTCAGCGCTGGATTCCTCCAACATCCTCCAAGTGTTGGTGGGTTCTAGGCCACCATGCGTCTCCTTTCTTCGTGAGAAGGGCTTGGGAACCACTGGCGCTACCGGTGGAGTCGCGCTGACCTGTGGCCATGTTACCGGCTTTCAGGTGTGAATCCCGGTGGTGGGATTTGGGTTTCGCGGGTCACCGAAAAATGGTGGCATCCCAGGAAGATATCCAAATCGTCTAGATTTAGAGAGAAGTTGTTTGCATTTTTTTTCTGAATCGGTTATAGTGACCCACCAAGTCTATGAGTAGTTCTTCATATCATCCATCTTTTTTGATGTAGTCAACTGTGCAAGGAACAAAAACACAACCCTCCAAGGGTAGCAAATCCCAACCCACCACAACACAGGATGTTCACCAGTAACAATGGAGGGTCACCCTCCAGGTTTTTCGCACCTGCGACGGATCGCGCGGGATCGCCGGCTCTGGCGGCTGCGACAGCACGGCCGATCCTATCCTGGAGATCACAAAGGAATCGGAGGATGACAACCGTTTCAGGACAAGGTTTTGGACAACCTGATAGGCTTTCATGATGCTGTATGGCTGTATTTGTTCAAAATCCTCACTTTAATCTAATTTCATCATGAACCCTAAGTAACCAAGAAACTATTTTGGAGTGTGTGAATGTGCCCCTTTGCCAATTTTGCTCAGCTTGGCAGCTGTTGGATGGCCACAGCACGATGCCTCGACTGCGGAGCCAGCAATGGAACGAAGCCTCGGTCGTGGCGCAATGAACGGTCGTCGCTCATCCAATTTTGACCTTCAATTTGTGGTGCGGAAAATCATAAGCCAGCTCCTTTTTGTGGCTTATTCTTGGATACATATTTGTGTATCCCTACTTGAGTTGAGATGTAATTTATAATAGCCCCAGATCCTTGCCATTTGGGGATGCTGAAAATGATCCCGTGGATCCCATTTTTTCAGTCCAATCTGCAGATGATTTGGATACCATCCGTGTCCAGCAAGTCATTGGTTGCTCCCAAGGCACTTCACCTGCTATCATGGGGAGATATCTAAGCCAACTGGGGATGTCATATCCAAATTATGCCTGAAAGCTCACCCTGGTGGAAAAAACCTGCTGTCCCAGAGGCTTGTGCTCACTGCCGATAGCACTGAAGGTGCCCTGCAGAGATCACCGTGACAGCTGGTGGTCGCATCATCTGGTGGTTTAGAAAGTTTAAACACAAAAAAAGGTGCACACAAAGTATCACAAAGTGCTAGAGATATCTAGAGATCATGTTTCCACTTGACAAGATGAAAAGAGTTGAAGAACGTGCAATCGCGTTTCCTTGGAAATCGCAAGGCATCAACTTGGTGGGAAGCATTGTGTTCAAACACACAAATAGGAAGTGCCTCACCCAAGCTCCAACGGCCATGTTTTAACCTTGCAGCTGAGATCCTTTTGCAGCCCCTTTGGGGCTATCTGAATTCCCACACTTCCCGATGACATGGTCATGGATTTTGCGGAAATCTCGGAAAAAACGATCCAAACCCGTACTGTATATCCCACTTGGCGGACGACTATGACCTGTCATTTGGATTATCATAAACTGAAGGTTCGCTTTGGCTTGCGACATTGTATCAAAACACTTCGCGAAACTCCGCTGTTGCTCCAATCCATTGTCCATGTCAAAGTGCCACCTTCTGCGTTATGTCAGGCTCTTGTGGCCAGTTGCGGTCGCCCCGCAGAATTGCTTTCAGCCAGCAGCTTCGACTAACCTGGGGGCGATGTTTAAGTCTTGGCAAACACCTTGCAGACTTTAGATGACTTTAGATGTTTGGATGGGGCCAAGCTGTGGCCGGGCCGCTGCCTACGATGTGGCCGTTGTGATCTGTCCGCCACGTGCATCCCAAGTACGAAAACTTGCGTGGTGAGAGACTGGTCCGCAAAGTTCGGGTGAACGGTTGCTTATTTCTTGTTGTTTAATGTTGTTTATACCAGTTTGTGACTGCTTGATGACCATGTTTACAAGCTCATCCGAGTAGGGAATGAACTCTCCAATAACCCTTGGACAAGTTCCTGTGCGTTGAAGATTGGTACAGTATAGTAACATATAGTAATTGTGGTTGTACAAGATGAACTTTGCCTTGGATGTACTAACACAGCTCCATCCAATCCTGCTGTCTGCAACAACCCACCCTGCTGGGGCGCAGACCGAGCCACAGCGTCCTGACAAACAAGGAGCAAGGGAACACATCCAGTTAATTTGGGAACACGTTATTTTGGTGGATTGGGGATTTCTACGAATTCCATAGAATGCCTCTATAGAAGTCCAACAAGGGGAATTACCTGCCAAAACATGCAAAAAATATCGTGGACGATATATTATGATATATCCCATTCTTTGACACATGTTCTCTTTGTACAGGGTACAGGGCCGTTTATATAGTCACCCTGGTCTGGTTTGCATCCCCACTTTGTTTGTGCAAGTATCTGTTTTGACTGGCATTGGTTGATGACTCGCCATTATCTGTCTTGCTTCATGCCCCCCTGTATCTTGTCTTTTCCATTCTATCTCCCCAAATTTGTTGCCAAATAGCTCCCTGTCTTTTCTTTGTTTCCCTTCTTTCATCAGGCTTCTCCCAGTTCTTTCCCTCAGGAAAAGCCACCACGACTCATGACAATCCCACATCCCCATTTCGATTGTCAAAATCATCGAAAAACATTAGGAGTTTCCATTTCCAAGTTCGAATTATAGAGGGTACTTGGATGTGCATCCCAGCTGGACAATACCCTATAGCCTAGCCAGCTGGGGATATCCCATATATAACTCGGCTAGAACCATGGTCCTGAACCCAAAGGATGCACATGCACCATCAAACCCAAGTATCATTTTTGGTATGTTAATGATCCCCTTCCCCTAAGATTGCATACCTACCAAAAGAAACCCTGGTTTAGTATTGGATCTATTCATTTAGGGTTCCAAGAATTATCTGTATTGCATCGCATGGAAGTAGGATCACAATCCCGTAATTCATTGTGAGACCCCCGCAATTTACCAACTTGACAGCTCAAATTCAACCCAATGTGCGTCAAACTTCATTGTGATTAGCATAGTTTCAACCCATATCGCCAATGAGACCCAACTAACCCAACATGAAATGGCAAAGTTGAGCCAATTTTCATAACCCCCCCGAATGGGTTTGTTTGAAATTAGGGTATTATCATCATGGTCCCTACTTGAGTGGCCATTTTGGGAGGCCAAATCATTTCAAACAAAATTCATTATAATTATTCCATTATATACATTTATATATATATATATATTTCCCTTTATATTCCCATTATATCAAATTATATCATAGTATATCCCACTGTTGGAGAAATCCCTCCATTTTCCCACCTTGGTGAAGTCCATGCCAAGCAAGTCGTCACGCACCTCCCGCACCTGGTTCAGACGTGCCACCAGGTCCTGGCGCGACATTTTGGAGTCTTGGAATCGGCGCGACAACATCGGATCGGCCCTCCAGGGCCGACAAGCGCAGACCTCGTTTTTCCACGAAGTTGGAGGCAGTTCGAAGTCCTGGGAGTTTCACAAGGGGATCCACCAAACTCTTGGAGTCACCGGAGGTACCTCCAAAAATGGGTGAAACTGATAGGGTGGTATGTAAACCACCAGTCCAATTTTGCCACTTGGGGACTAAAACCAGACCCCAAAAAAGTGGTTGATTACTGGGTTACCTCATGATATGTCACCAGGGAGGGTCCCTGCTGCAGCAGATTGAAGTTTCACATTGACAACCATCAGAATAGACGGCCGAAAAAAGATGAACAGAGCTCATGATCTCATGACCTCTCCCCCAAATAAACAGGTATACGGTATGAGTGGGTTTCCACTAAGGTTATAAGGTGACACCACATCTTAGCCCCTTAGTGCCACCTCTGAGTCTCGAAAGCAAAGGTGTCTGGCGAGCCTTGGAAACCTCAGAGTTTTTTCTCAAGGGGCCCAAGGGGCCCAAGGGGCCCATCCAAAATATGTCGGGGGCATAAAGCCAGAAAGCCCATCATAGTCCCAGAAAATTATAGATGGGAATCCAGGAAACCAGACTATCAGACTATCTGATTTGTTTGATCAAAACACCATGAGTACCATGAGTGTGAGGCGTTTGGAGAATCACAGCTTGTCCCTGGAAATTTGCTAGCTAAACTCAGCGACCATGAAAAAGATCCACTGGCACTTTGGAGTTCATATCAAAATAGCTGGAATAAAAGTGGATGTTCATCCGCATTTACATAGCGGAATAGTATGGGTGTTGATCCATTCTCGGTTCGTATCAACACGAGTATACCCCAAAAAAATGTTACAATGTCCATGACGAAAATGATTGGTTTAAATGATCTTAAATGATCTTAATATCCAGAACAATGATTCAATGGGGTGAACCAAAATCTTTGATCAGCTTTTCTTTTACCAGACCATACCCTCTGGTAAACTAACATAACTATGGAAAATCACCATTTTTAATGGGAAAATCCACTATAAATGGCCATTTTCAATAGCTATGTTAAATTACCAGACCATAGTTTCTTCAACTTCGCCACCAGGGGCCCCCACTCAGAACGGAGCCGCCGCGGCAGGCTGTGGCCAGGCGCTAAGAGACGCCGCGCCACCTGGACGGGTAGTGGCCAGTGGTTGTATGGTTACAACTCTGTATCGGATATAGTACCTGGATGTTACCCATATATCCAAATGATTCCATATATGCTTATAGTTAGTATATTCAGATATGATCAAATATCGTATTGTTATAAATACATACATATTCTACTAATCTATAGTGCTTCCACTGGATGTTGGATGGTTCAATGGATCTGTCCACTGACCGCGCAACGCGCGCAACGGCAACAGGACCCATGGCAACTGAGGTCGAGGACCGGCCGCAGGGCCGGGCCAATCTTGGAGATCAACAAACTTCCCAAGCGCTCCTGCTTCAACGGTGAGATGGGATGCCAACTCTGACATGTCTAAGAAGTGACTACAGTAGTTGGGATAAATGCTTGGAAACCCAGATTGGATAGAGATACCATATATCATATTGTATTAATATACATGTGTGTGTGTGTTTGCATGTGTATATATATATATACATTATTAAAATATCATTTACAAATCCTGTCCTGAATATGAACCCTTGAGTCAACCCAGGGACCAGTTGCAACTGTCATTCCCAGATCCTCCAGGGCTGCTCCGCCTGCAAGGCCATGTCAAAGAAAAACTGGATTCCACAGATGCGTAGCGAAAGATTGGGAGGTCAAACATGAGAACGGCACAGCAAAAATCAAATGAACAAAGAAAACCCAGGAGTTTTTCTCTGAAGATCAAGCTGTTTGAGTTTCCAAAACAAAATAACAAAACACCATCAGTTGCACTCCGTCGCACCTGGCTTTGGACAGCTGCGCACCTGGCAGGACATGTTGCCATCAGTTGCCGATGATAACCACATGAGCCACTTCAGTTTGCTTACGTTCATCACAATGTATTTAAGCATCCCAAGGTCCTCAAAGATTCAGTCTAGGCAAGTGACTCTCCAAGACCATCGCAAATTGGGTTGGCACGTGGCACTCGTCATGACCACGCCAAAAAGTTTTGGCCAACAACACACGCACGATTTTGTCAGAAATCTGCCAGCCAATGTTCCCATCGGTTTTGCGCCTGAAGCAAAGCCACCCATAGGACTTCCTCCACCGCGGATTTCAGCTGCTCCACTTGTTCCACTTGCTCCACTTGCTCCACCTGAAGTGGCCAAACCTTGGGTTTCTATGGATTTCCTCTGGTTGATGCGGTTGATGGTTCCCCTCAAAAACCGGGGGTTCATCAACGATCTGCCCATTGACCCTTGCGACTCCAGCCGCTCCAGGTCAGCTCCAAAAATGCCAAACCGAAATGGAACCCACCCCAAAAGCTGCTCATGTTGGTTTCCCGCTCCTGCTGACTATCAAATCATCCTTAAAGCCTATGACTGTTTGGCAATTTAACCCTAATGATTGGCTGGTTTGTTTCCCTATTTTGCTGCATACATCCCCATTTCAGCCTGTCTGACAAGACCGATCTGTTCCTTGCACACCATGATTTTCAGTCTCAAAATGATTGAACACTATTCAAATACGTACATATTACATGTTTGTTATTATTATCAACTATTATTATTATTAATTATTACTATTATTATCATTGTCATATATATATAGCCAAGAGCACCTTGCCTGCTAGTGATATATTGAAATTTCGTATATCTTCCCATCCCACATGTCTCAACCATCTCCGGTCGCCTCCGCCGTTGGCCCAGCAGCACTGGTGACAGCCTCTCGGTGCTTGGCTGAACGGGGACGGCTGCGCATCTTCTCCAGGATGAAGCGGGCAGCCTGAGACACGAAAATGATTGGCTTAGAGGGTTTTTTCCAATGTTTTTCCAATGTTTTTCCAATGTTTTTCCAATGTTTTTCCAATGTTTTTTCCAATGGTTTTCCAATGATTTTCCAATGTGTTTCCATTATTTTCCATGATTTTACCGTGATTTTCCATGATCTTCCATTTGTTTGCATGGTTTTTCCAACGTTTTTTCCATGATGTTCCATGATGGCCCAATGATTTTCCAAGTACGAAACAACTTGGAATGGTTTCATACTCAAATTAGGCATGAGTGCCTTTAAAAGATTTAGGAGTATGAAAGTATCCCAATTTGGTGACAAATGAACAAACCATGCCAATTTTGGGGCAGTTTCAGGCTAATCTTGAGTACGAAACATTATTCCTCCTATTTCTGAAGCGGCACATGTGAAAGCCAGGAAGCTCGCACCACGAGAAAAGAGGCGTGGGGTCGCCCAGAGAAAGGATACCCCGGAAATTCTAAGCGCTCCTCTCGCCGGTAATCGCACAGCGCGAAAATTGCATTTTTTTTCGCATAAAAACAAAAAGTCAAAAGGTTTTGACTTTTCGAATTTTCGATTTTTTCGACTTTTCAGGTGATTTTTTTCGCGAAAAATCAAAAAGTGTTCGACTTTTCGGCTTTTCGATTTTTCGACTTTTTGAATTTTTGAATTTTCATTTTTTCGACTTTTCGAACATAACTCTCCTGGCCTGGGAACGTTTCGACTTTTTGACTTTTCGATTTTTATTTTTTGTTTGATTTTTCGACTTTTCGGTTTTTTTCGACTTTTCGTTTTTGCGTTTTTCGACTTTTCGCCGTTTCGCCGAAAAAAAGGAAAGCTTTGACTTATGACTTGGCAATTCAAAACCGTCAGCAAGTTCTTAAAGATTCTTAACTTTGCGAACTTTTCGACTATATAAAAAAAGTCATCAACGTGTTCGACTTGGTGTTTTCCATCTTTGTTCAACGATTGAATTTTGTTTTTTCTCACTGATGCAATAGGTACGACAAGTAATTTATGAACCAAAGGAATCCAAGAGATAGTAAAAATAAAGATATGGACTGGCTGGATGTATGAATCGAATCGGCAATAAACATAGACAGAGACAGCTATACTTTTTCTAGCTCTCTTGCTAGGCATTTTCGCGACCCACAAACCTGGACCTCGCTTGCCTTACGGTTGAAGATAGATGATAAGACAGGAACCCTTGCGTATCCAGTTTTGTGTATTGTTTGGGTGGTTTAAACGCAACTTTTCGCCAAAACAAAGTGTTTGACTTTTTGACTTTGCTTTTCTGACTTGGCGATTCAAACCCCAACCGTGGTAGAAAGCGTTCTTTGGAACATCAAACCGGTCTTCCCCTGGGAACCACTCTTCGAGCATTGACTGATTTGCAGTTGGGCAACCGACGACGCAAAATCAAATCCTAACATATATTGATTGCAGGTTTTCTGCTCCCCTGGAAAGTAAACAAAAACTCTACCAGGAGAGAGCAACAAAACAACAATGAAAAACAATGTGCGTGGATACTGCCTGTGCTCCAACGCCTCAAAACCCCTCGCGGTTTGTCACTTTTCCAGGGAAAATGTTCGCAAAAAGTCAAAAACACAAAAAGTTAAAAAAGTTAAAGAGTGTTCGACTTTTGGAATTTTTCGATTTTTTCGACTTTTCGACTTTTCGAGCAGAAATCCCCTGGAATGTGAACTTTTCGACTTTTCGACTTTCCGCGAGCGAAAATCGTGATTTTCACGGTGTGACCGCTACCAGCCAGAAGAGCACACAGCGGAAATTGACCCATACCCAAATTGAACCCTCTCGACCAACCCATCAACCACTTCCTCCCACTTCCTCCCCGATGGTGCCTGTACCTCTTCCGGCACCAGTGCAGCAGCTCGTGCCATCAGTTCTTCTTTCCAGAGACTCTGACCTGGCACGAGCCATCGCACATGCGGGTGACGCGGACCATCCCAAATCTGGGATGGTTTTTCACAATTATGTTTTATTCAATCTTTCTCACAAAGAACAAAGAAGTAATCAACCAAGTGATCTTCATCCCAAGTTCTCCAAGTCAAATCTTCCAAGCATATAAAAACATCCAATCCATCCCTCAACTCACAACGCTCCACAAAATAGCCACACCCCAGACCAAGTCCATGCTTAGTGAATCTGGCACTTCCCCAGCAATTTGTTGGCCAAAACCCGAAATTTCCCATCACCAGTGCCTTCAGTGCTTTCCATCTCCTCCATCCAATCCGTCTTGGGCATCTTGGGCCGTGCCAGCACTGCCATATGCCGCTGCTGCTCCGCCGCGCTGCGGCGCGGCTCTGGCCTGGACCGGGTGTCACGCGTGTCACGCGTGTCACGGTCACGGCTATGGGTCCAAGTCTCCAAAGGTTCAAGCACCAGATTTGGATCATCTTTTGGTGATCTTCCAAACTTTCTTGGATTTCCCAAGCAGCCCAAACCAAAACATCAACAGAAAAGGGTGCAGATTTTTTTTTCAGTTTGGGGCACTTTTCCTTGTTATTTGCTACATTTTGGAGCAAAAACCTGTACTTTGCTGAATTTTGGAGCAAAATTGTGATTGTTGAAGCACAACCGTGTTGGGTCTAAATAGTGGCATTGGATGCTATCACAGTGTTGGTTGGTTTAGGGTTGGTTTAGGGTTTATTTAGGGTTGGTTTAGGGTTTATTTACGGTTGATTTAGGGTTTATTTAGGGTTGGTTTACGGTTTATTTAAAGTTGGTTTAGGGCTGGTTTAGGGTTTATTTAGGGTTGGTTTAGGGTTTATTTAAGGTTTATTTAGTGTTGGTTTATGGTTTTTTCAGGGTTATTTAGGGTTGGTTGAGGGTTTATTTAGGGTTATTTAGGGCTATTTAGAGTTATTTAAGGTTGGTTCAGGGTCTATTTAAAGTCTGTTGAGGGTTGGATTAAGGTACATGTAGTGATACAAGGTGTGTATATAAAGATAGATAGATAGATAGATAGATAGGTAGATAGGTAGATAGGTAGATAGGTAGATAGGTAGATAGGTAAATAGGTAGATAGGTAGATAGGTAGACAGGTAGACAGGTAGATAGACAGGTAGATAGATAGATAGATAGGTAAAACATGGTAAAGGATGGTAAAGGATGGTAAAGGATGGTAAAGCCACAGAAGCCACAAAAGCCACAAAAGCCACAAAGCCAGGCTGGAAAGCCAAAAACAAACAGCCCTCCAAAAGAAAAACGATGACACCCAGGGCCTGCTCTCCTCCTCCCAGCGCCGGGCGGGCCGGGGCTCGGCCAGTTCGCTGGCACGAGCCTGTTGCCTCGTTCGCCAAGCTTTGGAGGTCTGAAACTGCTGGTTTTTGTAGTTGATGATCGTGGTCCCTTAATGGGCCGACAACGGAGCCAAAATCCATAGTTTGGGATAGCCCCATATGATCGGGTTTTCTGAAATATGATGAGAATTGGTGAGAAGTGCCAGGGTTGACTCACTCCTGAGGTTGATGTAAGTTGGTTCAGATGAATGGTTCATGCCTTGACCTATGGAGTCTGGCTACAAAACGGCACTTGATTTCCCAGCTATAAACCTCCATTTAGTTCGGGGATTTCTCAGCTGCCATGGTTGATTGCTCAGCTGCTCCGCCCAAGACCTTGCTGGCGCCACCAGCTCTGCTTCCTGGACAGCTTCTTGGGTCTGGATTGAAATTGGATTTGAAAATGGTGGATTTAGCCACCAAACTGGGATGTTCATAAGGAAGATGATGATAAATCACTGGATTTTTTGTGGCACCCTGTTTTCGGGCAAACCCATGAGTCGAAATTTATGTCAAATGTTTGGCCTGACTTGAAACAGACACTTGCCACAACTCGAGAGCTGAGGATAAGAAAAAGTCCAGGTTGTTTCCAACACAATTGAACTGTTTCCAAGATATTCACGCACCTTTCTGTCCCAACACAGGCACCCCTAAAAAGCCATTGATCATCATTAATATGCCATGGATGATATTTTGTCATAAATTCATCACATCATTTTCTGCGAAATCTCCCGACGTCGAGTCCGTCGAGTCCTTGTACCCAGGGGAGCTGGGCCGCCTTTGGGCCAGCAGGGCGCAACCTCGCTACATGGCCATGGATCAGTAGCTATGGGGATTCATGGTGAATGGTGGATGAATGGTGATGAATCCCATGAACCACAAACCGTGGTTTCGTTTTGGGGGTGTTCAATATGAAAGGGGGAAGAAAATCATGGTGGTTTTTTTCAGCCACCCGTCCATGTTGAACAAAGAATCTGCCAGGAATGGTTGGCATTGGTAATAATAAATAACTCCTGGTGTCCAAGGCCCCTTGAAGAAACACACCTCGCACCAATCCATATATCGATGTTGGGGATCCTAGAACCTGACGTTCACCCGGCCCGCCTTGCTCACTTTTCTCTGCATAGGATCATGGTGAATATAGAGACTAAAGGACTCATTAAAATCCAGATCCCCTGTGCACACTGAATTATTGAAACGGGTTCCTGCAAAATTCATTATAGACTTACCTGCGGAAGTGCAAGCACCACACCGCCTCAGCGGATAGTCCCCAATCGGGACGATCCGGTCCTAGTCACTTTCCAAACAGGTTTGCGATGTTGCCTTATCTGCTTGGCAACGCTGCCATTGAAAGAACGGCAAAAAACAACTCTTCTACCAGTTCAAGCATGGGAAACACCTTGTCAACTTTTACAGTGGATCTTTGGAAAAGTTGTCTATTTCTCTTCTGACACGAATCACTAATGCAAAAACCGTGTTCCCCTCTTGGCCTGTTGGCTACCTGTCACTTCTGCCATCTCATCTCATCTGAATCACTCCGGTTGTTTGGTCTCTGATGTCTCTGTGACAACAGTCCTGACATCGCTTTCATAGGTCTCCGAAGATGACATTTGCTGTCGACGGAACCAAGCTCTTGGCCGAGCAGGTTCCAACATCAAGGCTGTGATCATCCCAGTGGTCGAAGATTGCGGTAGAAGATCTCTGGTCGCATGCAGCCAGTCTCTCATATCCTTCATCTCCTTGTTCGTCGCTGTGCTGCCCATCCCAAGGATTTTCACTAAGCCGGCTTAGTTGAAGTCTTGAGCCGACCGCCTCAAGCACAAAGGAACTCGCCAAAGAAAGGCAAGTGGCACTTGCCTTTCGGGGGCAAAAAAACATCAAAAAACCCTCGGCTTCAACATGTTCAGACCCAGAAAATCCTTCAAAAAATCATTCAAAAAATCCAACTTTCCACAGTTTCAAGAGGCCGTCCTTCCCAGTGCCCCGTGCCCTCGCTGCCCGTGCTCCCCACTCGCTTGTTGTTCTGAGGCCGTCCGCATGAGTCGGAAGAAGTCCTGGCGCAGATGGCATGGAATGAACAATGGAATCTTCGGATATTCTAATGGAATATTCATATTGGTTCAAAGAAATTGGATCAAATTGGAATATATCATTGGCATACTTGTCAATAAAACAAATTGCTGGTATACAATGGGTACAAACCAACTATAATGGGATAGAACATGATGGGAAAATGATGGAATATTATTAGCTATAATGTTTCCAATAATGGGATTGTGAATATTAGGCAAAAAAATGGCTACACTGGAATATTAATGGGATGTATGATTGAAATAGTGGTTCATTAAGAAAAATGGAGGTATACAACGGGTACTATAGTGGAGACATAACGGGAATATGCCATGGGAATAGAAACCAAGTACAGTGTTGGATTACCCTCCTGTAATTTGTTACATAGCTATGGAAGCCATGGCCCATTTAGTTCGAGGATTTGCCTATTGATTTGATATTTATTTTCCATGTTAAACTATGTTAAACTGTTATATTGCCAAAGGGAAAATATAATTAGTCACTATTTCACTGGCATGTTGCTGGTGTATCTTTTAGAAGGTTTCTAAGGTTCTACAATGAAAAATCCCGATGTTTACTGAGTGGTTCGTGGAAAATTGGGGAACTGTTCCATTGCCAAATCAATCTTTTTCTTGGACGATCATATCGAAATATCGCGAAGAAACCTTGCTTCAGTTTATTCCGGCGATGGGATTGCCATAAAATGCCTCAGTTCTTGATTTGCTGATCCTGACCTATCTGTACTCCGCCTTGAAAATCCTGAAACAAGCAAGACCAGTTCTGGGCAAAACCTCAGATCTTTGGGTTGGAATCCGATGCAAATCAACCAAACAAAAGGCGCGGATGGGTACTTTCCCACCCTTAGAATTGGTCAGCATGAACCGTTTACTAGGTTTTGGGCCGGCCCTGTCCTCTGCTTCTGCGCGTGCAGCCCTCGCTAGTCGCGGTTCCCATACCTCGTGGTTCGCCTGGCAAATAGAATTGGATTGTACATACTTTGGTACACCCAATAATGAACCCTTCCCAAATTCGTGGGATTTACACATCCCCCGTCGCCCCCGGTAGAAGTTGAAGCTTTTAGATCAGTTGATACCCTCGGGTAATCCAACCTGGCAAACTTGAAAAGAAGGGCACGTCTCCATCTACCATTCTGAACTAGAACCAGGATAAGAGATGGATGACAATGTTCACAGTCACTCAAGATACATGCATATAAATATGTGTATGTATATACATGTATTTATTATTTATATATGTGTATGTAGTGTATGTACACACACAAAAATGCACGGACTATCATTTCCTCCTCATTTTTGTCAACCATTTAGAGATGTAGGGATGATGTTCCCATCATCTACTGGTGACCATTTTCCACCTGCAACGTCTCGAAAACCTTCCGTTGCCGGCGGCAGATGGCCATGCCTGGGGGGTGCTGGGATGAGCTTGGGTAATGTGATTAGAAAGTGGTGTGTATAGAATATACATATATTATTATTATGTGTGTGTGTGTACTAGTAATATGTAATATATATATATATATACATATATATATATCCCTGCTATAAGCTAGGAATAGCGAATCAGCATCAAAAAACAAATGTATGAATAGTATGTAAATATATGTAAATAAAATTATATATGTATATATATATATATTATATATAAAAGAATGGCTTTGCATTTTACCCGAGGAAAATGGGGATTTGAAAATGACAGTAGTTTTCTGCGTGCTGGGTCTAGTTATCTGCGTGCTGCGTCTTTTGGCTTGCCCACCAACAACAAGAAAGCCAGGGGGAACAATTGCTCTCGTCAACCATGCTAAAACCAGGAGTTTTTTGTACCTTGCATCCCCACACGGCCCAAACCACTGCCATCACCAGTTCTGCACAGCCGCCTGGTGCAACCGAGTCACTCTCCACACGTTCTTGCTGACGGTATTCTTTCAGGAAGCGAGCCTCTTGCAAGTTTCACCCAGGGACAATTCACCTAGTCTCGTCGCCGGTTTCAACCCCTCTCCAAGAAATTATGACCATCAACATCCCATTTCCTGTTCGTTGGTAGAAACAAAACATCGAACCCCCCAACCAGCATTGGCTTAAGGTGAGAGAACAGCTGGCAGGTCCGTCCCATTGCCTTGAAGGCTGAATAGCCGCCATCCCTGGAAGGGCATCATGCAGTCCATGGAGGGTTGAGTCGTTCTGAAAATGTGTGGCCCAACGGGTCTCAAACTCAGAAAAAACTCACATCAAAATGCCACACTCAGGACACATCTGATCCAAGTTGCTCAGGAGTCTGGGAATCGGAGTCCTGCGACCGCCCTGGTACTGCGCCTGGCGCTGTGCCACACGTCTCACATCTCATGAAACTGGACAACTCTTCAATGCCATGGTTTCAAGATGTTTCAAAATATTCTTGACGGATATATCCTGTCCAAAATCACCCCTGACTCATACTCTCCCGCGCTGGCCGCAGGCCTGGATCGGATGGTGCCCGCTGTGCCTGCGGCTTCGGTCGAGGCGAGGCAGCGTGGAAGAAACCGCTATGGGATTGATTCGGATTGATTTAAAATGGTAGATGGTTAAAACAATTTAAAACAGTTAAGTTACTCCAATTTAGGGCACTTCAACATAATTCAACAATGGAGAAGATGATGATAAATGATAAACCCCAAAATTTTGAGCCAACCCCAAGAAACTGGCAAGCCATATCCTACAGTACTGGTTGCTTGTAAACATCATAGAAGACGTGAAAAAACCTCAAAGATCTTTTGCCATCGGCATTAAGACTGGATTCCAACCAATCCATCAGTCCAGATTAAAGTGGATAGTAAAGATTGATAAAGTGATATAAAGTGGATAAACTGGCTGAAGAGCCATGTCCAGCCTTGAGATTGGCCGCTGCTGCCTGTTGCAGCAGTGAAGCAGACTTGGAGGGCCGCCTGGACCTGGCAGATCGCCTCTGGTCAAAAAAACTTGGAATTTGAGAATCTGACTTCGCAAAAGGCTGGTGGATGGTGGTGACTTCAACATCTTCAACCATGTCATGGTGGATGGTGGTATCTGACTTCAACATTGTCTAAGTTGCTATGACCTGCCCGAATCTGTGCCACTGCCTGGATCCCCGCCGTGGCGGCTCAGTGACCTGGGGCTCCGAAAATGTTGGGGAAAACCACATCCCCCTGGAATTTCATCTATGAGAAATTTAATGGGGATTCCTGATGAACACCAGTTGAAACTGAGCCCCCAGGCGGTCCAGCCAGGACCCAAGGCATCCAAGGGATCCGGATCCATGGCTCATAGGGGATCATACGGGTCAAGCCATTGGATTGCCATGAAAATGTCATGGGAAGTTTCAGTGTCTGAAATGTCAACTCATACCTTGTGTGTATGGATGAATGCATCATCCACCGGTTGCACTGCTCCCTGAAGATGGCATCATTTGGGACTTATCAAATGGAGATATACATATATATATATATGGGAGTATGGACGTATCATGGCTTCCTCTCGCTTGTTCTGGACCGCGTTTTTAATCTTACCAAGCTATGGTTCCACGCACAAATCTGTTGTTCTTGTTACACAATGAATTGCTGTGGTGTTGTTTTCACCACAGCTCTCGAAGGACAGTGAAAGCACAGCAGCAGGGCAGCAACTGCAAAAGGACAAGCGATGGTTTCTTCCAATCAAATGTAGGAATTTAGGTGTATCATTGACCTGTATCATGGTGTATCCTACAAAATTCCACCTGAAGCAATTCAGGGAGACAGGCAGGAAGCAAAAACGACCACTGTGGTATTGACAATGCCATGTATGTTTCTTCAATACAAACCCACGATGCCACCTGATCAAACCCTTCACCTCCTTGCTAAAAGACCGGGGAGTCAAGGCTTGGTTACGGGTCAAACGTTTGGCACCCAAGCATGGGACGATTCGTCAGAACAAGGACCAAAATGTGTGGGCTCCCGAGGTGCGACATGCCTCAAAGATGGCTGCGATCGGCTCGGCTGCGATCGGCTCAGCGATCGGCCACTGGCCGAAGATAGGGCTGGGAAGAGGCACCCTTCCCGCGCTTCCATCGGCCTCTGGAAGACGGATGAAGACTCTGTCAGTGGAAAGCAAACATTAATTCTTTGTAGCATGGTTTTACAGTTTTTCAATTGGTGTTCCATTTTGTACAACTGACCCGCTGGAAATGTGTGTCCACCAGCAACCTGCCAAAGCACACACCTCTTTGATGAGGCGGCCCGGCGCGCAGCACGGCCGGACCCACCGCCCCTCTTGGCGTCAAGAAATGCAGCAGAGATGTTCTGTGATTTCAACCTTCAAAGACATGCCTTTTCAACCTGCACACACAAGCTGGGGGCAGCCTGCAACATATTCTTTTCTCATGCCACGGCTGCCACGATGACATCTTCTTTGGAGGTCAACCAAGGCTTTGCGGAGCATTGCCACCTCAGCTGGTCTAGGAAACCAGCGATAATGATTCCTTCGAGGCAAACAATTTGACTATGGTTTCAGATTCTGCAGGCAATAAAGATTATGAACTCACAAAATCTCAGTCAACTGTTTTTCGTATCAAACATGATCAAACATCCAAGTGTTGGAGGTCAATATTTGTGGAGCCAAGCTGTACCACCCTCGCTCCAACACCCAGACAATTCAGCATCCTCTCTGGCTGCATGCGAAAAGGCCCTACTGTATGCCCAGGGCGGGCGCTTCGAATATAGAAAACATATGGCTGTGAGGATCATAGCTTAGTGCCCCAAAATTTTCATGGGTCTTACTGCTCAAAATGGCCACAATTTGTGTAAGTACACCGAGTAAGACAGTCTTCGTGTAATTGACCATGTTACACCGTCCACTCATCGTACGAGAAGAGTCAAAAACACTGATAAAACATCTCCACACACCTCTAAATTATGTTCTTCCAAGCCATCCCAAGTTCATGTGCCGGAAATACTGCAAGAACGGCAAAGGTTGAATCATTCTAATCGCAGTTTTCGATATCGGGCCAGGTTTGTGCTACATGTTATAATTTTCAATCGATTGGTTGTGGGTCAAAATTTCAATAACATAGACCCGGGCAAGCCGGGGGCGGAAGTTTCCCAAACATACATGACCTATAGTTCCAAGACAACCTGTCCCGACCGTGTCCTTCCCTCGACACTCCACACCTCACACTGCACACTGCACTCTTCGCACTCCAAACTTCAAACTTCACACTCCACACTTCACACTCCACACTTCTCACTTCTCACTGCTCCCTTCACACTCCAAACCTCACACTTCACACTTCACACTGCACACTTCACACTTCACAGTCCACACTTCACACTTCACACTTCACAGTCCACACTTCACACTTCACACTTCACAGTCCACACTTCTCGCTTCACACTTCACACTTCACACTCCACATTTCACACTTCTCACTTCTCACTGCTTCCTTCACACTCCAAACTTCACACTTCACACTTCACACTTCTCACTTCGCACTTCGCACTTCACACTCCACGCTTCACAGTCCACACTTCACACTTCTCACTTCACACTTCTCACTTCTCACTGCTTCCTTCACACTCCAAACTTCACACTTCTCACTTCGCCCTTCACACTCCACACTTCACAGTCCACACTTCACACTTCTCACTTCTCACTGCTTCCTTCCCACTCCAAACTTCACACTCCAAACTTCACACTTCACACTTCTCACTTCGCACTTCACACTCCACACTTCACCCACACTTCACACTTTTCACTGCTTCCTTCACACTCCAAACCTCACACTTCACACTTCACACTTCACACTGCGCTCTTCGCACTCCACACTGCACAGTCCACACTTCACACTTCTCACTTCACACTTCTCACTGCTTCCTTCACACTCCAAACTTCACACTTCACACTTCTCACTTCGCACTTCACACTCCACACTTCACAGTCCACACTTCACACTTCTCACTTCACACTTCTCACTTCTCACTGCTTCCTTCACACTCCAAACCTCACACTTCACACTTCACACTGCGCGCTTCGCACTCCAAACTTAAACTTCACACTCCACACTTCACACTTCTCACTTCCCACTGCTTCCTTCACACTGCACACTTCACACTGCACTCTTCACGCCCCACACTTCACACTGCTCTAAACCTAAGTGCAACAAAAAAACACTAGCGCCAAAATGGAGAAAATCTGCTAACAAATACATTTCGCAGCCTTCATGCAGCCAGTCCAAGACGATGTACGAGATCCAGCTGCAAAAGACATTACGCATGCAGCCAAAGCAAGAAGCAACCTTGACGCAGCCATTCCAATGCGATCTGCGGAGACTGAGTTGCAAAGCACAAGAGAACTACGCGCAATGGCATCGGAAATTGTAGCTCCAAAACCGGATCTCGACGCCAGAGCGAAAAAAAGACGATTTTGAAGCACTTTTTAAAAGGATTTTTAGAAGAAAAATCACTAGCGCCAAAATGGAGAAAATCTGCTAACAAATCCATGTCGCAGCCTTCATGCAGCCACTCCAATACGATTTACGAGATCCAGCTGCAAAAGACAATAGTATTGCGAATGCAGCCACAGCACGAAGCAACCTTGACGCAGCCATTACAATGCGATCTGCGGAGACTGAGTTGCAAAACACAAGAGAACTACGCGCAACGGCGTCGGAAATTGTAGCTCCAAAACCGGATCTCGACGCCAGAGCGGAAAAAAGACGATTTTGAAGCACTTTTTAAAAGGAAAGAAGGAAAATCACTAGCGCCAAAAACGCATTTCGTGCGAGACTTCCTTCAAAACTCCTTGACGCAGCCATTCCAATGCGATCTGCGGAGACTGAGTTGCAAAACACAAGAGAACTACGCGCAACGGCGTCGGAAATTGTATCTCCAAAACCGGATCTCGACGCCAGAGCGAAAAAAAGACGATTTTGAAGCACTTTTTAAAAGGATTTTTAGAAGGAAAATCACTAGCGCCAAAATGGGGAAAATCTGCTGACAAATCACTGTCGCAGCCTTCATGCAGCCACTCCAATACGATTTACGAAGTCCAGCTGCAAAAGACAATAGTATTACGAATGCAGCCACAGCATGAAGCAACCTTGACGCAGCCATTACAATGCGATCTGCGGAGACTGAGTTCCAAAACACAATAGAACTACGCGCAACGGCGTCGGAAATTGTAGCTCCAAAACCGGATCTCGACGCCAGAGCGGAAAAAAGACGATTTTGAAGCACTTTTTAAAAGGATTTTTAGAAGGAAAATCACTAGCGCCAAAATGGAGAAAATCTGCGGACAAATCACTGTCGCAGCCTTCATGCAGCCACTCCAATACGATTTACGAAGTCCAGCTGCAAAAGACAATAGTATTACGAATGCAGCCACAGCACGCAGCAACCTTGACGCAGCCATTACAATGCGATCTGCAGAGATTGAGTTCCAAAACACAATAGAACTACGCGCAACGGCGTCAGAAATTGTAGCTCCAAAACCGGATCTCGACGCCAGAGCGAAAAAAATACGATTTTGAAGCACTTTTTAAAAGGATTTTGAGGAGGAAAATCACTAGCGCCAAAATGGAGAAAATCTGCTGACAAAATCACTGTGGCAGCCTTCATGCAGCCACTCCTGTACGATTGACGAGATCCAGCTGCAAAAGACAATAGTATTACCAATGCAGCCACAGCACGAAGCAACCTTGACGCAGCCATTTACACTGCGGGAACGATCCTACAGTTGCAAAGCACAATGGAATTCCATCGGCAACTCATCCACCAGCAACACTTGCAATCCCGTTTACATTGCGGGAACGATCCTAGAGTTGCAAATCACAATGGAATTCCATCGGCAACTCATCCACCAGCACCACTTGCAATCCCATTTACATTGCGGGAACGATCCTACAGTTGCAAATCACAATGGAATTCTGTCGACCACAAATGCACGAAACACAGGTGACACCCCATTTACAATGCGGAACCGATCCGAGAATGATCCGAGAATATCCGCCCATGATCCGACCACACACGAGACCGTCTCGCACCCGTCGCACCGCAGAGGTACATCATCGACGTTCGGGGACGGACTTTGTATGGAAAAACACAGGGTTTCGTGCATCTGCTATCTCTCAAAAACGCATTTAGTGCGAGACTTTCTGCAAAACTCCATCGGCAACTCCTCCACCAGCACCACTTGCAATCCCATTTACAGTGAGGGAACGATCCTAGAGTTGCAAATCACAATGGAATTCCATCAGCAACTCATCCACCAGCACCACTTGCAACCCCATTTACAATGCGGGAATGAAAACCATAGGCTTTCGTGCATCTGCTATCTCTCAAAAACGCATTTCGTGCGAGACTTCCTTCAAAACTCCATCGGCAACTCATTCACCAGCACCACTTGCAATCCCATTTACAGTGAGGGAACGATCCTAGAGTTGCAAATCACAATGGAATTCCATCAGCAACTCATCCACCAGCACCACTTGCAATCCCATCTACATTGCGGGAACGATCCTACAGTTGCAATCACAATGGAATTCTGTCGACCACAAATGCACGAAACACAGGTGACACCCCATTTACAATGCGGAAGCGATCCGAGAATGATCCGAGCATATCCGACCATGATCCGACCACACACGAGACCGTCTCGCACCCGTCGCACCGCAGAGGTAGATCATCGAGGTTCGGGGACGGACTTTGTATGGAAAAACATAGGGTTTCGTGCATCTGCTATCTCTCAAAAACGCATTTCGTGCGAGACTTCCTCCAAAACTCTATCGGCAACTCCTCCACCAGCACCACTTGCAATCCCATTTACAGTGAGGGAACGATCCTAGAGTTGCAAATCACAATGGAATTCCATCGGCAACTCCTCCACCAGCACTACTTGCAATCCCATTTACAGTGAGGGAACGATCCTAGAGTTGCAAATCACAATGGAATTCTGTCGGCAACTCATCCACCAGCACCACTTGCAACCCCATTTACAATGCGGGAACGATCCTACAGTTGCAAATCACAATGGAATTCTGTCGACCACACATGCACGAAAAACTGTTGACACCCCATTTACAATGCGGAACCGATCCGACCATATCCGCCCATGATCCGAGCATGATCCGACCACACACGAGACCGTCTCGCAACCGTCGCACCGCAGAGGTAGATCATCGAGGTTCGGGGACGGACTTTGTATGGAAAAACATAGGGTTTCGTGAATCTGCTATCTCTCAAAAACGCATTTCGTGCGAGACTTCCTCCAAAACTCCATCGGCAACTCCTCCACCAGCACCACTTGCAATGCCATTTACAGTGAGGGAACAATTTCTTTGCTAACTCTTTCTGTGACTAACTCTTTTCCTCACCAACTCTTTCTTTGACTACCTTGTTTCTTTGCTAACTCTTTCTTTGACTACCTCATATATCCTGACTAACTCTTTCTTTGACTAACTCTTTCCCTCACTAACTCTTTCTTTGACTGATTCTTTCCCTCACTAACTGTTTCTTTGACTAACTCTTTCCCTGACGAACTCTTTCTTTGCTAACTCTTTCTTTGACTAACTCTTTCCCTCACTAACTCTTTCTTTGACTAACTCTTTCCCTGACGAACTCTTTCTTTGCTAACTCTTTCTGTGACTAACTCTTTCCCTCACTAACTCTTTCTTTGACTAACTCTTTCCCTGACTACTGTTTCTTTGACTAACTCTTTCCCTGACTAACTCTTTCCCTGACTAACTCTTTCTTTGACTAACTCTTTCCCTTAACTGACTAACTCTTTCCCTCACTAACTCTTTCTTTGACTAACTCTTTCCCTGACTAACTGTTTCTTTGCTAACTCTTTCTTTGACTAACTCTTTCCCTGACTAACTCTTGCTTTGACTAACTCTTTCCCTGACTAACTGTTTCTTTGCTAACTCTTTCTTTGACTAACTCTTTCCCTCACTAACTCTTTCTTTGACTAACTCTTTCCCTCACTAACTCTTTCTTTGACTAACTCTTTCTTTAACTAACTCTTTCCCTGACGAACTCTTTCTTTGCTAACTCTTTCTTGACTAACTCTTTCCCTCACTAACTCTTTCTTTGACTAACTCTTTCCCTGACTAACTGTTTCTTTGATAACTCTTTCTTTGACTAACTCTTTCCCTCACTAACTCTTTCTTTGACTAACTCTTTCCCTGACTAACTGTTTCTTTGACTATAACTCTTTCTTTGACTACCTCTTTCCCTGACGAACTCTTTCTTTGCTAACTCTTTCTGTGACTAACTCTTTCCCTCACTAACTCTTTCTTTGACTAACTCTTTCCCTGACTAACTGTTTCTTTGCTAACTCTTTCTTTGACTAACTCTTTCCCTCACTAACTCTTTCCCTCACTAACTGTTTCTTTGCTAACTCTTTCTTTGACTAACTCTTTCCCTCACTATCTCTTTCTTTGACTAACTCTTTCCCTCACTATCTCTTTCTTTGACTAACTCTTTCCCTCACTAACTCTTTCTTTGACTAACTCTTTCCCTGACTAACTGTTTCTTTGACTAACTCTTTGTTTGACTAACTCTTTCTTTCACTAACTCTTTCCCTCACTAACTCTTTCTTTGACTAACTCTTTCCCTCACTAACTCTTTCTTTGACTAACTCTTTCCCTCACTAACTCTTTCTTTGACTAACTCTTTCCCTGACATTCTAAAAGTCCGTAACACGGAAGTTTCTCCCCCTAAACTTCCTTTGACCATAGAATACCTCAAATTGGTTGTGGTCCCATTCTTCGCCCCGGAAAAGACATGGACCCAGTGGGACCTCAGTGGACTTTGCGCATTCGCCTCGGAAGCTTTTGCAAAAGGTGAGAAAGCCAGAAGGTACAGGACATGTTTTTATGATGTGTTTACATTGTGTTTACATTGTGTTTACATTGTGTGATAGGCATGCGCGCCCGTATACCGAAGTATAATGAAGTGTGTGTGTGTATGTATATATATATACACACATGCACGCGTCAATCGACATTGCAACGAGCCTGCCGGTCCTCCACAGTAATCACTGCTTCGGAACTTTCGAAGCGGGTTTGTCTGCTCCACCTCAGTTGAATGTCATGGGTTCATTGCGCACAAATTGTGTTTCATAGCATGGTCACTGTTATCTGAGACTGGTTCAGGCTACACCAGGACAATGTACTAAGAACTAAGTATCCAGCGACACAAAAACCTGAAAACCTACCAACATCTTGAGACATTTTGTCTGGTTGCCCTTTGTGGCCAAGAACTCCCATGCACCTTGTTGGAGGCGATGGCCACATAATAGATGCCTCAGGGCAGTGTCGGAACCCTACAGGTTGGATGGAGGATACCTGGCTACCTGGTCATGGACAACATTCCGAACGTGTTAAGCACTGGGACCAAAGCACTGGCCGCGGATTCCTTTTAACTAGTTCAAACACATTGGCAATTTGTGCGACTGCAGAGCTGAGCTACGCTGCCGCACCAGCTTCGGCCGGGGCCGCGGTCGCAGCCGTGGAGGCCTCGCTGCTGTAGCGCGTGCTGTAGGCCGACAACCGGCCAGCTTCGGCTGGGGCCGAGCCAGTGTCGTTGGGAAAGGTCTGGGTCAACCTGGACCCGGAACGAAACTTCAAATAGTCAGCCTTCGGCATCAACTCCCACGTCTCACGACCGGTCACATCATCGAGCTCTACGATGTACACCGTGGCAAAGGCATTGAGAACAAAATCGGTGAGGCCTCCTCTAGACAGCCAGAGTGGTAAGGTGTAGACAATGATGGCCTTGTAGAGTCCATTTGAGACGTAGGACATGACAAAGCGAAAGAAGATCTCCAGCCCAGACCATTGACCTTCTGCTGGACCATCTTCATTTCGGATTCGCATCTCCTGAGGATTCCCCTTTTGGGCATACATGAGCAAATGCCACATCTCTTGGTTGTAAGGTGTCACCATGCAAAAGGACCATCGGTACCAGTGGTGCATTGTGTTCCACAGAGCTTCATAGCGATCGTCCACCTGCTTGTCCACAGAGCTCTCATGTGATGCACCTTCGCTCCTCACTGGTTCATAGCCCTGACCGTTTGGAGCTTGGCGGAGATCATCAAAAGCATGTCGGAGATCACGCTTGTCTTCAGGAGATAAGGTGTCATCTAAGGTGATCTTCACTTGAACCAGCAGTGACCCGAGCCACAGCCCCATCCTTTTCGGATCCATTTCCAGAGGCTTCAGCACAATCTTCACGTAGATGATGATCAGGATGGTCATCAGCCCAAAGACGCACACACAACCAATGAAGTGGAACTGTGGGTCTTGGTATCGGTCCTCAGGAAATGCCTTAGCAGGAGGAGGAGACTTGCCTGCCATGGACTTGCCTGCCTTTTCACGAGCATCCATATAGTCAATCACTGCAAAGATCACCACAACAATGATGCAAAAGCAGCAAATCAACTTCACCGTGCCAGGTAGAGGGTTCCATTTGCTGACGGAAGGGATTCCCAACGGATTGGTCGTCTGTGTCTCCCAGGCAATTATGATCTCTGGTGGGAAGTTCAGAAATGCCGTGTTCAGGGTGAGCAGCCAAAGCACCCTCAAGAGCATTTCAGCACCAAGAAAAGACGTTGTCATCTTGCACTGTTTGAAGACTCCAATGAAGAATCCAATGCAAGAAAGCATGCAGTCCAACGCTCCTCTGCACAGCCGCTTGCAACAAATCAGAGAAGCATGAAAGAGTAAACAGCACATGAAGAAGAGAGCACCAACGTAGGCCAGGTTGTTGGCATTCAGAGCAAGGGAGATGCAAGCGCCTGACAGCGTGTCTGATGCAGCTTCCCCAAGCAAGAAGATGCTGAATGCATCTCTGCCCTGCTGTTGCCATATCTCCAAAGTGGTTTCCTTCAGCAACTTGACATGTTCCTCCTTCAGGACCCGCGCCGCATGCATCTCTGCATTCCAACCATCCAAATCCACAGTCGTCACAGGCGCTTGTAGCACCTTGTGGAGATCAATGAGTTCTGGAAAGTTGATGAAAGCTTCATCGTGGTTGGTGTCATCCCGGGCCGCTTTCATCAGCACCGTCTTGTGGCTCAGCACCCCAAGAAGAGTGAAGGCACCTGGGGCTGACCCCAAGATCCACACCACACCATCCATGCCGTCGCGGCCACAATATTGTCGGAGGTAGTTGATGCGAGTTCGGTTCATGTGAACCGAATCTCTCACCAAGTCGTGCAAAATGGTCCTTGCAAATGCCTGGCGGACTTCTGCGTGATATCCACTTTCGGGGTCAACGACTTTGCACACCAAGTCTCCACTTCCCCACAGAAAGCCCTTCTCCAACAAGAGGCGGATGATTCTGATGCGATCTTCAGATCGCTCACCTTGATTTCCCACATCCACTTCGTTCTTGTTCAGGGCCATTGTCAAAGCCCTTTGGTTGGCACCTTTGGTCATGTGCAAAGCCAGCTCCAGCATCGTCATGTGGGAAACATTTGCATAGTTGACTTGGTAGAAGTGGTCGTAGATCGACTCTGCATAGCTCACTTGATACCTTGCCAAATAGTCCAAGTCACTACATTGAATCTGTGGATAGTCTTGGTCTTTGGCTGCGGATAGGTTGTTCAAGTTGTGCACATACGCATCGTGTGCGCTCCACTTGTCGAGCAAGGATTTGACAGCCGAGGAGTCCCCATGGATCACATGCTTCCTCAAAACCTGCAGCTGTTTCTTCAAATCTGCAATGTCTCGCTGGTGATGGCACGGCTGTGTCATTCCAGCGACATCAAATTGAGAGGATGAATCTTCAAACAGCACTCGGCCGGGAAAATGTGCGGACTCTGTGGCCATCATGCCCAGGGGGTCAGCGTCTTTGCGAGCCATTCCCTGTCCATCCTCAACGAGCATGCATTTCAAAACTGCGGAGAAAAGGATGACGGCTGAGAACACTTGACGCATCCCGATGCATCTGGCCATGGTCGGCACGGGCTCAAGTGGCTCAGCAGATGATTCACCTGCCCTGAGGCTGAAAATGCACAGCCTATCTATACGTACACTCCGCAGTCTACCAAAACCTGAGCCACCAAAAAACGCGGAACCATGGGCGATCAGCTGCCATGCCGAAGATGCACGATACATCACGGAAATCCAGGATTTTCGTTGTCTCCACGTCTAAAATCACCAACTGCTTGAAGGTTTCAACCCTGCACAAAAATCAAGCAATGAAACACAAAATGCAAATATAAAGAGAATATGAATGATTTCAGCCACCAGCTATTGCCTGTGCCCCGATATCTGAGACGGTGACCGGAGGTGTTGGACTTGACCAAAAATATTCTCAGCGCTTCATTTCCCCTCGATCTCCTGCTGTGATGCCCAAGGGATCAAACTGGAACCCTTGATACGTGCCAACACAAGAAATATCCACCAACATTAGCTTTTCATGTCTGATCCTGGAAGGGGACAAAAACTGGGGAAAAATCATGATATATCCCTCAGCCTGCAAAAACCAACCTTTGAAGCCTTGGATGAAACATGCTCTACAATCCACAGCACGACTAGTACAAAAAAACATGAAAGGACGTCTCTACATGCCTTTTGATCACTCTACTCTCAGGTATCCTATGTTTCATGCCCCGGACATGCTACAAGAATGGTGCCATTGGGTCATTCAGCCCGCAATTTTCGAAGAAAGTGAGCCATGTTTATTTGTGTAATTATGTTTTAATATTCAGTCAGAACTGTACGGGTCATAATAAAATTGGGAAATACCCGGCATTGGGATGGTCAAAACGAAAAATGTGCAAAACTTTTCTCATGCCGGGCTGTCTCAGGAAGTGGATGCTGGAAAAGGTTGAAAGTTTTATGATATTTTCCAGTTGCACCAAAGGTATGTTTTGTCAAGCTGGACCCAACCTCCCAGAGCATGAGGAGCATTCGCCTTGGAATGCCAGGCATGGGAAGCCCAATCCAACTAAGCCCTGGGAAGCTTGCGAAGGTGTGAAAGTCAGAGGTGTTACAGCATGTTTGTACCTGTGTGTGTATGTGTGTCTGTGCATTTTCATAGTTGATATTGTGTTGGTGGTTTGTTTGCGTGGCACCATGTAGGTATGTAGGTGGATAGATAAGCAGGTATACAGATATGTATCATGAGTGAAAGGACGGGGTCCTCTGGAGCCGGACTTGGGAGCCCAAAATGCATCACATGGGGATCCCTGGCCAGGACATTCCTTTGCAGGTTGGGTTCGCGCAGCATTTTGGTGGCTAAAATGATGTCGTACGCAGCTTCGGAAGGTGCTTTCGAAACAGTTTGTCTGTTTGCCTTGACACACAGTTGACAGAAAAGGTATCATTGTTCATGTCATGGCATCAGAAGTTACCCAGCGACATCTTGCAAAACCTGATTGCCCGATTGCCATTTGAATTTGTCGCTAAGCACCCAGCAAAATGCAGCTCAATGGAGGTGCTGGCCGAACAATAGGTGCCTCAGGCAGTGTCGGAACCCGACACGTTGGATGGAGGATACCTGGCTACCTAGTCATGGACAACATGCCGAACGTGTTAAGCACTGGGACCAAAGCACTGGCCGCGGATTCCTTTTAACTAGTTCAAACACATTGGCAATTTGTGCGACTGCAGAGCTGAGCTACGCTGCCGCACCAGCTTCGGCCGGGGCCGCGGTCGCATCCGTGGAGGCCTGGCTGATGTAGACACCTTTGAAGCCCTCGGCCTCCTCATCCTCCGTGGCATCCTCGCCGGTCAAGGTCTTCGTTCGATGCTTCAAATATTCCGTCTTCGGCATCAACTTCCACTCACAACCATTCACATCATCGAGGTCTACGATGTACACCGTGGCAAAGGCATTGAGAACAAAATCGGTGAGGCCTCCTCTAGACAGCCAGAGTGGTAAGGTGTAGACAATAATGGCCTTGTAGAATCCATTTGACATGTAGGACATGAAAAAGCGACAGTAGATCTCCAGCCAAGACCATTGACCTTCTGCTGGACCATCTTCATTTTGGATTCGCATCTCCTGAGGATTCCCTTTCTTGGCATACATGAGCAAATGCCACATCTCTTGGTTGTAAGGTGTCACCATGCAAAAGGACCATCGGTACCAGTGATGCATCATCTTCTGCAAAGCTTGATAGCGCTTGTCCTCGCGCGTCCCCACAGAGCTCTCATGTGATGCACCTTCGCTCCTCATTGGTTGATAGCCGTGACCGTTTGGAGCGTGGTCGAAAGCATGTCGGACATCACTAAAAGCATGTTGGAGATCACGCTGGTCTTTGGGAGATAAGGTGTCATCTAAGGTGATTTTCACTTGAACCAGCAGTGAAAAGAGCCACAGCCCCATCCTTTTCGGATCCATTTCCAGAGGCTTCAGCACAATCTTCACGTAGATGATGATCAGGATGGTCATCAGCCCAAAGACGCACACACAACCAATGAAGTGGAACTGTGGGTCTTGGTATCGGTCCTCAGGAAATGCCTTAGCAGGAGGAGGAGACTTGCCTGCCATGGACTTGCCTGCCTTTTCACGAGCATCCATATAGTCAATCACTGCAAAGATCACCACCACAATGATGCAAAAGCAGTAAATCAAGTGCACCATGGCAGGTAGCGGGTTCCATTTGCTGACGGAAGGGATTCCAAGCGGATTGGTCTGTGTCTCCCAAGCAATTATGATCTCTGGTGGGAAGTTCAGAAATGCTGTGTTCAGGGTGAGGAGCCAAAGCACCCTCAAGAGCATTTCAGCACCAAGAAAAGACGTTGTCATCTTGCACTGTTTGAAGACTCCAATGAAGAATCCAATGCAAGAAAGCATGCAGTCCAACGCTCCTCTGCACAGCCGCTTGCAACAAATCAGAGAAGCATGAAAGAGTAAACAGCACATGAAGAAGAGAGCACCAACGTAGGCCAGGTTGTT